ACTGAGCTGAAAGCAACAGTGGTTTCAATTATTGATTGCATAAAACTGAATCACTGCAGGAATGAGGGGAGAGAGGAGACTGAAAGAGAAGAAGAGGTTAATGTGCCTTACAAGTTTGTATGTGATTTGCATATTGCTGTGTGGAGTAATTAGGGCTTATCTTCAATTTGGCTTCATTATCTATCTTTTGTCTTAGAATATGATGTTATTCCTTGTTGGAAAATGATACATTTATGTAAATGGGATACATTGGATGGATGGATGGATGGATGGATGGATGGATGGATGGATGGATGGATGGATGGATGGATGGATGGATGGATGGATGGATGGATGGATGGATGGATGGATGGATGGACAGACAAACGGATAGTTTAGTCTTTTGATATTGGTGGTCCAATGGGACTTAATTGAAATCAAATATTTTTGTTTAAGATAATTATTCTGAACAAATATTATTCATAGTGACTGAGGGCAGTTTTTTCCTTGTAGTTTTTTTTGTAAATATCATCAACTTGAGACAGTAGTTCATGTTATTTGCACAAACGTATGTCCTGCTTTAAACATTCACAAACATTCCAAATCGAACACTTTTGCATAAAAAAATAGATGTGCATAATTTTTTTTAAAACCTATGCACTCATAGCTCTAACAACAGCTGAAATCATGTTGTGTTAATTTCAAAATAGCTTCAGCTCTGTCCTTCGTTTGTGAGTATTCTGGAGTATAAAGACGACAATTAAAAACCTCCCAATGTTGCTGGACTTTATAATAATTTTGTTTGGGAATATACAGAAGCTCTCACATATTTTGGGCATCAGGCAGCATATTTTAAAGAACATGATGGTCGAGCAGATTCCAAAACAGTTTCTTGCCCATCAGACTTCTGAATAAAAAAAAACAACTAATTGTTGTCAATCATATCACAGTCTTATGTTCATATTTGAATACCATGTTTACATTTGATCACTGCTGCACTTTAAGAAATGGAAATGTAATGGGAGCTGTACAAAACCAAATTTTGTTTTGTATGCACCCTGTGTATAGAAAATCACAATAAAGTTTGTCTACGTCTAATTCTAAGTCACCTAACCAGCCTAACTAACCGAATACACTGCAAAAAAACTGAAATCTAAATAAGTAATTTTTTTTCTTGAATTGTGGAGGTATGTGAGACACTTTGCCAATGGAACAAGACAATTTACATTTAAAATAAGAAAAAAACAATTGCATAGTCGTTTTTCAAGTGCATATTATCTAATTATCTTATTTTAAGGGTAAAAAAACTCAATCCATTGCCAAATTATCTTATTTACCTACTCAAATTAAGGTTAAATACACTTAAGACATTTTTACTTATTTCCAGATTGTTTTTGCAGGTTATTTGCATTGCTTGCAATGGTAAATTCTAAAAAGTAGAATGTGTAGTTGCTGATGTTGAAGTGAATGAAATTCCATCATTTTATCTGCAGTTATCTGGTTCTGACTTACAGCTCTACGGGCTACACACGCTGAATATTTGAAACCATGACTTCACCTGTTTAAAATAAGCTATGATAAACACCTGAAACTATATGATTTATAGATTAGTTAATAATTTCAATCCTACTTTAGTAACAACTACTTTATGCCCATTGCAACTCCACATGCTTTTAGCAGGGAACTGCTTCATTGAGCAGCTGCTGTCGAAGGCCTTACATCTACAGATTCACCAAATAAACAAATCTATAATGTGTACAAAGTCTCAGTGGTAACTGTTATTAAAAGGCCACCTATTTGTCAAAACTATAGCTTCTATCATGCAATAAGTATCTGCATGGCTGACTGCATACAAAGTGTCAATGGACTCGTTCTATAACAAACCAGAGTTAGATCAGCGAGGTATGTACATTCACAGTATTCAGCACAAATATTTAAATCCTTTTGAGCTCAGCTGGCACCATCCTAAATCTAGTTTGATTAATCCTAGTTGAACTGATATATATTCAAATTGTAATATCATGAATAAATCCAAAAACTGACCATCAGCTCTCATAAACAACAACTGAATGTAAAATTCGATATTAGCAGCATAATTAAATCAAATAAGCATCATCAATTTGTTTTAAAATTAAGCTTGGTATACATTTTGCATTAACACTGCCATAACTTTAAGCTTTCATATTTTGATTAGTTATTATACTACATGCATGCCATGAGGAAGACTGAGTGTAAATATGCTGTCACTGTGTGAGTCCTTTCAGCTATTCCTTTATTCACAGCAAATCATTACAACTTGTACACCGACTTAGTTTAGTTCCAATGCATGATGTCTTTCCTAACTTAACTAGAATTCGAAAACTGGGTCCCACATATCAAAGACTTACCCTACAGACTTACCCTCCTTCACCACCGAGGGGGGAATAAGCTTTCTTTTTCATGACGCAAATGTATCATGCAAAACCCTATTTAAAAAATAGTAAAACACAATAATTAGACTTCTCTTAGGCAAACACAAAATATCAAGAATAAAAATGTGTTTACCATTTTTTAAATAGTTAATAAAAAAATATAGATATATTTATATAGATATTTCTCTATATAGAGATATATCTATATATAGATATCACATTAATGTTGTTAGATTAATATCGAGAGAAATTTACAACATAACCCCAAATCTGACTGGCAAAACCATAGAATTTTATATTCAGTTTTTGCTATTTTGGGTTTTCATGTATTTACTCAGTCTTTTAACAAGAATGAATGACAAATGATGATTTTTTTTTAGCATGTAACCCAGAAATGTTTAGAAACAACACAAATATATAGATAAAATAGATAAAGACTACAACCCTAAGCATAACAGTCAAACCAGATTGTCTGACCTCATTGTGAATATTCATACCATTATGGGGTGAATAACCCTGGCTGAATGTGTATCTGCTTAATATCTTTAATCACCTGCATCTCATTGAGGGCCCAGGACCCACTTCCACTCATTAAAATGATGGATTGAGGCATAAGGGAACGACGCCCCTCTGTTCCAAATTTGTTCTTGTTTTGAAAGGTGCTTATTAGAGACTACCTGAGGGAATGGAGGGGGGAGGGAGCTTGAGAACAGCTCAGGAGCTGCAGGAATAGGTAAAAAAGAAGGGGATTGTTGAGTACTATTTACAGCTAAATCCAATTAGTGTTGTTAAGTTAAAAGGACATCAGACTTAGACAACTTTTATTTTCATTTTTTATAAAAAGAGTGTATACAAAACGAAATTTCTTTTTGTACAGCTTTCATGGCCATTTCTTAAAGTGCAGCAGTGATCAAATAGAAAAAAAAAATGTATTTTCTGGTTTTATAAAATCCATAAATGTTACTTGATATGTGATAAGACCTGCATCTCTTCTATGTCACTTTAGAGTTTTTACCAATTAGTCATCTTTGAAATACACTGGTTGCACATGTATAAACTCAAGGGTAACAGATTATAGGAGTAAACTACAAAAGGCACATTATAGATTTTTGATTAGTAAAAACTAATGCTCTAATTTGTTTGATAACCACTTAAAACCATTAAAAAGTACACAGGTTTGTGATATAAATGTAAAAAAAATTGTAATAGCTTTCCAATGCATTCCATTTTGTCAGAAAAAAAAGATAAAAAAATATGTTTTTTGTAATATAAAAATAAGCTAGTCCTGCAGTAGGTGGATAATAAATCCCAAAGGTTTTAACACATCTATAGATCATTTAGGAGGTTAGCAATATTCATTAGCTTCTCAAAACAGGACTTCCACTCCAGTCCTTTGTGACTCAGGCTTGAGCGAGAGAAGGTATCTGTTTTTTCTTCTTCACCGATGTTTGAATGAGCCTTGACAGACAGTGTCGACGTTAAAGACTCCCAAAGGCCAGTTCATTGCCTCTGAGAGAAAAGGCAGTGGGCAGGTTAGATGTAATAAACTGGAACAAATGGATTTCAGGGACCAATTAGAATAAAGCCCTTTGAAGTCTATCTTTGATGACAGTGTCATCGCCTGATTTAACAGGTATTTTGTTTTGTCCAATTAGCAGCTTTTCTTGAACAGACGAAGGTCGGCATTGGCTCTTATGTAACCTCATTGAAGCCTCTTTAGACTTGGCAGCGATGTAGACCTGCTGAAATAAACATGGAATCTTTTTACTGTTGGTTTTTCGGCCTCTATTTCTCCAAATGCCTTTATAAAGTCACAAGACATGGTAATGTACTGAGTAATGAGGAGCACTCTCTAACTAACATTACTGTTAACTAACTGTTTAGTAGTTCTTCCAGGTATCCCAATAGTTGTTACCTCGACAATGTTTCTGAAGTACCTTGTGTTCAATTTTTTAGTTGTCAGTACATATTATTGAAAATGCTTTAAAAATAATGTTCTTAATTTCTTTGTGGGTTCATCAGAACTCAGAATATTTAGTTAAAGGTTTTTCAAAATGTTTGTGTAAAAACATGTCAGACTTTTATTGTCTAATATTTACAATATTAACAAACATTAAATTATATTACAGTGACTTTACATAGGTAGCCTATTTGAAAGTGCTATGAACAAATGCTAAAAATAACATGATGAAAACTAAGTTAAAAAAAAAAACTAATAGATATATACATGTGCTGCTCAGTGGAACAGTGGGTAGCACTTGCTACCTTGCAGCAATAAGGTTCTGGGTTTGATTCCTTGGGGTCTTTCTGCATGGAGTTTGCATGTTCTCCCTGAGCATGCGTGGGTTCTTTCGCTCGTTGACAGTTGGAGATAGGCACCAGCACCCCTTGCAACCCCACTTGGGATAAGCGTGATTGAAAATGGATGGATGGATATATATACATATAAATATCATGTCTAACTGACAAAAAAGGAGCACCCCAGAACCTCAGATTCTTTGTCTTAATTTCTTGGATTTAGATCAGGGCTTAGATTTTCTAAATGGAAAACAGGGTCTATTTTTCTACTTAAGATAAATGGAAACATTTGACAAATGACAAAAAGAAAGGTTTTAGTTTGAAGTTTTTATTCACTTTTTTTTTTTTACTTTACGAAACAAATGATTGCAGATGTCCTATGAATAAACAACAGCACCCTTTCTTCTCGAGACAGGGTTTAATCAGCCCCTTTGTGTGAAGAAAAGCGAATCCTCTTGCCCAATTAATGCCTCTCCAGATTCCCAAAGTGACATGTTTCCTGTATTTGACATTCATTTAAGTGCATTCGTAGGCAAAAGAACCATTCTGATTAATGTGCAATAACTGATCTTATGGTCATTGTGAAAACGGTATTTACATTGCAGCCATGACTCACATTAACTGTCTTTTATCACTTGAGCATCATCAGAGCTGGAGATGGCGACAATCCTAATGTGGGGAGTCTTGTTTCAAGCACAGCCTTCGTAAACAACAAACTTTACCAACATCATCAGGATTAACTACTCTTTCTGTCTTACTTTTTAGCCTCCAAGTAAGACGAAAAGGTTAATAGATAAAATGGTTTAAAATAAAGTTTAGTGATTGTGCTTTTAAAACCAAAGTAAAACAAATAAACATTGATAACAACACAGGACATAACAGTGCATTACAAAAAATGAACAAACAAAACAATCCCAAAGTGGCACTTTTTTTGTTGGGGGCAGCTAAATAATATAGCATTTTACAACATGGATGGAAATTATAAAATTTTATTTACTGGCATAATAAAATTAGATCTTCAAAACAAAACAAGGAAGACCATTTGAGGTACCACATTGGGCAAAACAGAAAACATTACATAGACACATATATTTACAGACAGTTTACCCCTTCCTGTATGCAGCTGTTTACAGTAACATCTCACTGTACGGGCTCTCTGAAGTTCTTGTCAGGCAAGCTGAGTTATGTCAACATCTGGAGCAGACTTTCACTGCATATTGCATTGGAATCCAACATAAATATACCACTGTGTATTCTTATTTTTAATGCATCATTCGTAAAACATCACACTTCCGTATAACAAAAAACAAGAGAAGAATGGGCAAAGAAATGATAAGTTAGGAGGCGGATAACATTGGTCTGTTTTTTTTTTTTCAGATGTAAAGAAACACATATGATGTATACAGTATAATGGCAGCCAACATGATGGTGAAATACTGAGATATTTAAAATTGTAAGAGAAAAAATGGTGCTCCACTGCTAGGAAAATCTAAACAGTTCCTCCTTTTCATTCTGTCTTCTTCAGCTTTCTAGCATCTAGAGGAGAAAGAAAGGATACTGTTTATTTTCAAAGACAATATCAGCATGTTAAAGTTAATTAGTTTAGCATCTATACATATTTAATAACTATAGTCATATTAATTTATATTCAACCATCACACGCTATTATAAGTGGCCTTTGACCTTAAAGTGCATCATGAAGTAATCAGTGCTTGTTTGTCATTATGGCACTAACTCTTTACTTATTCCTTCAGACCCAACAAAAATACAGCTATTATCTGCAGAAATATTTGTGATGGATGATGTATTTTCATAGTTGTTATTCTAATTGTACATTCCAACAAAACTTGCTTTGTGTATTTAACTCTTTATCCTCAGGAAACAAATAGAACTCCGAAAAGCAGGGTGAGCAAGCATGTACATTTAACCACAGAAACAACAGATCTGCTTGCTTCGTCTCACACTAACTAAATGAAAATTTAATGTTTCATGCTTCCAGTGGCGCAAAAGTGTCTTTCATATACAATGAAGTAAATATTAGTTAAAATAAAACAAGCCTTTCTAGGTTAAGCTACTCTGAAAGAATTGGAACCAGTGGCCTGGGTTCAATTTACATAAAATCATGGGAAAGGAAATCCTTAATTTGTCAGAGAAAGAAAGAAAAAAAAATCTATACAGACTTTCTGTGCAGTGTGAACATGGTATATTTATGCAACCAAGAGGGACGGTGAAAAACAAAGTTACCCTTAAGTAAGTGAGATTTTTGTGCGCTTGGATATCAACCCAGTATTTCGGTTAACGCTGTAACTCCAATGTTTGCAGCATTTGGATCGGCAAGTAAATACGCTTTTATTTCTGGCCTTGTGATATAAGAGAGAAACAGAGAGATACTGTATCTCCAACACGCTGGTAGAAACTGCCAAATCTGCAGGTTTTAGCAGGATGTAATTGTACTATCAGTTAAGGCAAAAAGAACCCACCTCTTTACTTCAGATTTTTACAATTTAAGAAGTTTATAAATAAATATATTCATACAGTTGTGCTTAAAAGCTTACATACCCTTGCATTAAAATCAGAAATAAATCAGCAGCCAGTAAAATTAATTAAAACTGACAAAAGTAATAATAAATAAAATAAAAATAACATTGATTTATTCAAAATCAATGTAATTTTTTTAATTTTTCATAATTTTTATTTATTATTACTGTTTTGTATGATTTCCATTTTTATAATATTTTGTTATTTTTGCTTTGTCAATTTTAGCTTATTTAACTGGCTGCTGATTGTTTTCTGTCTTTAACTGAAATGTATGTAAACTTTCAAGCACAACTGTACATATATATAGGACAAGAAATTAAATAAAAGAGGAGTAGTCTAATAGTTTTTCCTATGACTTTATATCTCCTCTGTATTTCATTTTCAATCTGTCAACCCTAAACTAATAAAATAATCTATATACAAATGGAATGGAGTCGGAATCTGAGCTGTTTTTTCTCCCGTTAGATTTGATGAAAAATGTTTGACATCATTTCGTACCTCCAGTTCTTCCTCTCCTTGGTGGAAAGCTACAGAGTTGTTGACAGTCATGTCTCCAGGGTTCCTGCGTGTCCCTTCCCCTCTTCGCCGCCCCCCCGAGCCCCTAGAGGACATAGAGCTCGAGGAGCTTGGATCTCTGGGGCTGTTGACTGTTGGGAACTGTGGTCGGCTATATGGCAGAATGTCCTCTGGACCTTTTGGAACAACAGAATTGGAGGACTTTATATTTAAGAAACAGAGATGAGCTACTAAATAAGACAACTGGCCACAGACAGCGTTATGTTAGCACCTATGTTCTGCCGTGGTTTGTTGGCAGTGCTGCTCTCAGGTTTATTCCCTTTCCCTCCAGGAGCAGTCTTTTGTCTATCCTGAGCGTCTTTACGTTCAGATGAGCTGGTTCTGGGGTCTGAGCCTTCCTGTGGCCGATAGCCACCTCCCCGCTTGTCTGGACCTTCCCCCGCTTTGGGGGAAATTACTCCCCGACCCTCCAGTGCTGTCTTGGAGGGATGTGTGGGAGACTTGAGCACTGCTGGAGGAGGAATGGGTGGAGGAGGGAGATCTGGTAGATAAACATAGAAAGTGACAGCATATCAACCAAATGATAAAAAGTGTTTTTTAAAAGAAATGAACAAGGCTATGCACCCTTGAAAGTCATTGTGTATTATCAGTCACCCAGTTGTATCGCAACTACAAGGTGATGCACAAAAACGGCAGTAGTGTGTGTACAAATGTTGACCAGAAAGACTTTAGAGCAGACAATAAACAGAACGGATGACAGTGAAGCCATATCAAGGCAGAGTTATGAGATTTGAGCAGGAGGCAGGAAAGGGGAAAAAAGAAGGGAGTGTCTGATGGTCAGCAGCTTGCTCAACTTCCCGCGTCGATGAATCAGTGCTACCTGTCCTTGAGCCATTATTCATACAAAAGCTGCCAAGCCTTCAAGCCTGGCCTATCGCACATCACACAGCCATCTAAGCAAAACACGAGCACAAAGCCTCACCTATCTACAATCGATAGCCTTTGATCTTTGGATCACCATCAGGGAGGGTTTTGTCAGCGACAAGATTTTTAATCCACACAAGAACTAAAATTAATAAATAAGGATGTTTGTCCTGCTGGCCAATCACAGATTGTGTTTAAGTCTTAAGAAAAAGGTATGATCTTTTTTACAATAGATAGTTGTAATAGAAATGGGCATTTATAGCTTCTCATTAGCATAGTTTCCATACTAATACACTAAACGAGGATATGCTCATTGGTACTAAAGGTAACATCAGACATGTTGATGCCTATTGTTGCTAATATGCAACAAACCCTTTGTTTTACATATAAAGCCAAGAAAACATTAACATTCCACTATAGTAGTGCAAGTTATAACATATTCAGTGTGGAACTAGGAACCCTTGGCAAGGTCTTGCTTCTGTTATGACTGGTTTATAACGGTGTGTTATCAATGACTTTTATGAATGTTCTCACAAATTAGTTATATACTTATATCTTTATTTATTTTAAAATAAGACAATTTGAAGGTCCTCCAATTTGGTGTCAGTGGTCATGGATGGGTTTAGGGTTATTTTTTGGGGTTATGACATAGAAAGAGTTAAAAATGACTGGAAATCAATGGAATTCAATTGGAGTCAATACATGGTCCTTACTAGATATAGCAACACCATGCCTGGGTGTGTGTTCGGGGGGATGATGGGTTAGGTGGGGTGGGGGGTGCGGTTAGGGGTGAATATCATACAGCCCAGAAGTACTGGCAGCATTTTTTTTTAAATATTTGCCATTTGCCATCTCTCCAGGGTTCTGCTTCAGTCAGAGTCCGATCAATGTCAATGTCTGTGAGCTATAGCTCACTACAATGGTGAAGTGCTGTGTCTGTTAGATTTATGAGGGAATATCAGGGAGGACAGTGTTCAGGTCTGGAAAAAGTGTCTGTTTGAGCACGCCAAGGAGGATGAATCCACGAGACTGGTGGTTAATTAAGCAGGCAAGACTGAGACAAATCAGAAGAGAGAGGAATGGTTTTCTTCAGGGAGTGGGCAGAGAAATGCATTAGAGTCAAACACAATATGAATCATGGGGGAGAAGAACTTGAGTATTCTTTATCAAGTGTGCAAAGATCAGTAAAGTGACCAGGTCAAAGACAGGGAGCCCCTTTGGTCGAAAGGGATTAACAGGATGCTTGACTTAATGAGTTTATTTTTTTCATAGCTTCTCTAACCTAATTCATCCAGCAGGTAAACTAAGATAATTTTTTGTAAAGTCATAGTGAAGGAACAGCTGCATTACAGAAAAAAAAATTAAAAAGGTACTTCCAAAAACTGAAATAAGAATTATTTAATTGCAGTAAAAAGCAACACTTACTCACAGATTCCTTTTACCAAAATGTGATGACTTAAGCAATTATGAGGAAGACTTTGAACTTGCAACTATGTGGTGTAGCAAAGACAAACAGCCTGTGCCAAATTTGAGATATTAAGGATGTCCAATTAATTTAACCTCACTATATTCTAGCTATCATGTAGATGCAGAACTCTAAACACTGTCTTAGCAATGATGCTTAGTATATTTCGCCATGTTGGACAACTTACATGTCTAGAATCATCATGTTTGCAGGACCATAATATAACATTTATGTTAAAAACTCAGTTTTCTATAGTCTTGCACAATGTAAAAGTTTTCTAAATAATGGAATTTTAAGTCTTCACTAGCTATGAACTTGAATCAAAAATGTACAGACACATGCTTATAAAATATCACTGCATGTTCAATGAGTAATGACTTTCAGTTTTTCACGAGATTCCTCCGTATTGAGATGTACCTTTCCACATGAAAATATATTTCACATCGAAGATGACTATATGTCTCTTTTGTTCTAAATGCCAATAAGCACATTTCCCTCACCTATCACCTCAGCAGCAGTATTCTAGACCACAGACAGGTTATGTGGGGTGGCTGAGTGGTTTGGGGCTGGGGGATGGGGGAGGCAATAACCTCCAAATGAAAAACAATCCATTTAGATCAAATGCAATCAGCAAAAGGACTGATACACAGAACTGCAGAGCTGTCAGTCCACACCCCTCCCTGCTCAAACAAAGACAGAAGAGAGCATGAGGAGAGGAGGGCGGGATGGAGAGATCACTATAAAGGGAGGGGCAGAGGACATGTAGGGATATACGGATGATGGTGGGAGGTGGGGGTTTGGTGGGGTGGTGGATATTCTGCAGTGATATAGCTGGTCTGGCTCCCAGTGAGTTGGATATTAAATCTCCCTGTCAAGTGCTTCCAACACTCAAGGACACCTGACACTAAACGGGGGAGCCAGCTCTGGGACTACACACACTGTGCACACCAGAGGAAATGTGTGTGAACACCAGCATACAGATTCATCTTAAAAAAATGACCCTTCCACATGATCAAAGCAGGAAGTTATAATATAAGAGTACTCTTCCATCGGAAGGTCTGAGTGTTTAAAAATGACACCATAAAAAGTCAGTCGTTCTTTCAGTTAACAAGGTTAAAGCTATTCCTTCCATGTAAAGCTCTTCTATTATTTAGCCTATTAAAGTTAAGGTGGCCATTCATATTACCCAGATCCATTTCCTCAGAGGCCAGAGTGGAGATCTGCCCCACTGTTAACATTGCCAAACTGGGCAGAACTCCCACAGGACAGATCTGCCTTCCCATCACGGCCCTGTGCTGCAGCCCAACACTTGCCTGCTCTTCTAAAGCAGTGCCAAAGATTAAGAGGAATGCCAATCAAGCATGTGCATAAACACACACAAGAAGATGATTACCACTCTGGCTCTCAGCATGCCTATACTCCATCATTTGCACACAACAAGTCACAGTTAACACTGTTTTTTTTTTTCCTGTTTTAGGGGAATCAAGAGGCACACAGACACAAAATGCTGATCTGTGTTCTTGAGGATTAGAGCATAGCTGCTGCTTTTGTCAACTAAAAGAAAGAGTTACTATTGTACTGGTGAATTTGACTAAAAATATAAAACAAAAAGAAATTCTTAACTAAATGTAGTTTCCACTCAAAAAAAAAACAACAACATTTCAGTTCAGAGAATGGCCCCCAATTTCTAAACATGACTTTAATAAAAGTTAAATGCTACAAAATCAGAAATGATACTCATGTTTACTGCAGTAAATCCATGATTTACTTTTTTGATAAGCGGAATAAAGACAGCATAAATAAAAATGTGTTTCTCCCAAGATATGTGCTTCCATAAACTCATCTCTTTGCAAGAATTGGAAAAATAATTCTTAAATGGTTATTTATAATGGCAGTAGTGCAATTAGAGGTAAACTAAAGGCTGTGTGCAAAATAAAGGTAGCTGAATGGTTTTGTCATTATTGACTTTGTTTCAGTACATTATTACTCTTAACTTTAATTTGGCTTTGCGTGACTTTTATTTTATCTGAGATATGACAAGAAACTGAGGCACACATTTCTATGGCAATAGGCTGTATGGAATGAGCAGGATGGATAAGAGTGCAAAAAAATAGCAAAGAGTGGCATTATAGGGTCACAAAGTCTTCATGAACGCTATAAGTCTACATCTAGTTAACAAACATTTATTTTGGAGGGATTTCATCAGAGACATAAATGTTTTCCTGACATCTTCCTGGAACTGTGTGCGTTGGTCACAAAGTGAGCTTTTTTGCCTTCAAGTGCTTCTGATTTTGGCTTAAAATAAATATGTGATATGCGCTGAGCACCTTACAGCGACTCTCAAGCATGGCGTGGGGTGTGCAAAACTGTGAACCCTGGGAACCTTGCAAGAATGCATGGATTTAAAAATAACAAAAAAAATAAGGTTGATGGTTTGTTATTAGGTATCTTAGCATGTTCACAATCCAAAATATTATACCAAATTAAACAACAAATGGTCATAAAGTCATAAAGTTCTTTCTGACTGGGGGGCAAAAAAAAATATTGCTAATCAAAGGGGGGCCAGCAAGAAAGAAAAATGGGAACCTTTGGTGTAGGAGAAGATTAAACGCAAATAACAAATAATAAACCAGTTCTGTGTTCTTATCTTATCAAATAAATAGTTGTTTTTTTTTACCTTCATTAAAGACCTCACGTCGCTGGCTGCCTGGATGTCCTGCAGGGTGCTGTTTTTGCCTCTTTGGAGGCCTCCTGTGAATAGCTGCCATACTCATATTACTATCTGTAGACACTGGGCTGCCAGGACGATGGCCTGACTGGTTTATTTGGTATTTTCGCACTGTAAAAAAATAAAGATTGCATTGAATTTCAGACTTACATCAAATTTCTTAAACCAATGGCCCCTGTCAAAGCAGCTGAGCTTACCTGAAGCTCCTCCTACTTCCTGGCCTTGTGGACTAGGGTACTTTGCCACCCTCAGCCCTGAATACTCTGCGGCTGCAGCAACTGCTTGAGCAAAGTCCGCGTCTGTGAAGAAGGAGCCATCTGATGAGCTGATTGCACTTGATCTCCCCGAGGAGACATTATCCTCCTCAGAGGCAGACCCCCATCCGTTTATCATGGAGCCCGTCACCGAGCTCTCCAGGTCACCCATGCTGGACGCAGGCGTCTGCTCAAGTCCTCTTATTAGCAACCTCCTTGCTTGCATCTGGGGTTGGTGAGGGTGTGTGTGGGGGTGGGTATGGTGGTAGTGCATTTTGGCCACTTCTGCGTCCGTTTCACCATCCTCCTCCTCCTCTTCCTCCAGTATATCCTCCTCCTCCTCCAGACCGTCAGTGTCCAAAGCCAGAGGGCTGCTGATATACCCATATGTGTGTGAAGGGGAGAGGGGCCTTGGAGGAGGTGGAGGGCTCACACCATGGCGTCTTAAAAAAAAAAAAAAAAAAAAGAAACTATTTAGCTTTTCATAATATACTTAACATTTTGGATTAGATTATTTATATTATATTATTGAATTATATTTATTATATGGAGTAATTTTCATTATGTTCTAAGTGAAACCAGGCATGCTTCATTTCGAACAATATTATATTAGAAATATGATATATGCTGAGTTAAGAACACTCAAATAGAGAAGCATTCAAAATTCAGTTGCTGAGAGAAATCAACAGATATTTGGCCCTGATCTGTGAAAAGCTGATAAAAAATGTGGCTATGTGTAGTATGGAGTAGTGGCAGCCTTTTGGGAATTGCTGGAAATCAGAATGTAAGCAATCAGATTCTGACTTTTACAGTTATTGTAAACTATGTTAATTGCCATGCAAATTGTAAAATATAAGCCCTTTGACTTTGTTTTATTGTGGTTACTAAGGCTGATCAAAGTTTCTGTTAACATATAACAGGTTACAATAAATTTAGATGTAATTATTTTTATTCATACACAAATTGTGCCAATTCATTAAGTTATTTGTTCTAATCTATAGAAAAAACCCTGATTCATACAGTGTGCTACTACCTCTGTTCCTGATTATAATGCTGGTAATTATTGTAACAGAACAAAACCTAGTCAACCGAAATCAGCTTGGCGGAGTTTAACTGCATAAAAAGCAGCAATTATTGAATAATTTGTAAGAATATCTTATAAAGGCTTCACATTATTGATGTTTCTTTTAAATAAGAGTAAAGGATGTGGCCGCTTTACAACTACACTGCAGGTCATCAATATTATATATATGACATTTAATAAACAGGATATATCTTAGATGTCCTTCTGGCTTATTATAAACACTTTCCTTTTAGTTTAAAAAATGAAATGTAACAAATGACTCCCTGGAAGGTAAGAAATCATCCAAAAGGCCAAAATGTGCTTTTGAAAAATGGCTGACAGCGCAACGTGATATATAAAACCTAGAGTTAATGGACTAAATCATGACAAACAGCTATGAATTTTAAATATACTGGATGGATCTTTAAAATAATGTTTGTGGAACACCACTCTGACTGTTCCTCTTTAGAATAGCATTATGGCATACAGTGTCTGCTCTCATGCAGGCATACCTGCGTTCATGACTGTCTGATGCATCCTGAAGCATGGGTTGCATCTCCTCCTGGGGAGAGGGGGTGAGAGTGGCTGTGGACTGATGGCTGTAGGACACAGCAGCAGGGGAAGAGGCTGCCCCGCGTACGGGAGGAGTGGGACCCCTCTCCATCTCCTCCTCCTCCTCCAGCTCATCTGGTTGCAGGTACATGTGAGAGGGGGGCATGGGGCACTGCATGTCATGATCATAGCTGTCAGAAGACGTAAACAGGGCTTGTTAGCTACATATCAGTTAATGACAGTTAATGCAGCAGCTGATAAAAATTCACAAAATATTCAACAATATATATTTATGTTGTCCTTTTCATAACTTCGCATAAACCTAGCTCCGAAAGATGAAAACTGAAAGGACAAAATAATCTGAATTAACGCAAAAAACATGAGAAAGAAATAAAATAGAAATGCACAGTAAAATGTCTATCAATTTCATATTCCAGTTGATATCATCAGTGCACAACTGGTCTGAAACCCGAAAAATGGTGACAAAATGATAGTTGAGGTAGAAATTGTTAGGGGGACAAGACTAGAATTTAGCTAATTTCTGAATCAGATATAAGATTTAAAGGAAAGTAAGAATCAATGCTGCAGGCTTCAGTAAAATCTGTAGACTTTTGGAACCTATAAGATTAAGTCTGAAAAACCTAGCATATATGAAAAAGAAACCTTTGGTTCACTGCTAATACTCAATTTTCACTTAGTTAAATATAAATAAAATTCAAGTCCTGGGTCGAGATCAATGAATGAGGATATTTGTAATGCCCTTCCTTACGGAACTAGCTAAGCAATGGAAAAGCAAAATGTTTCTGCGAATAATAAAGAGATTTTATTTCTGCAATTATCCAGTCCAAAAAATACTGCTTTTACTGTACATGTAACTTTCCTTCAATGAAAGCTTTGTTATTTTGTCACACTGTCAAAACCTACAGATTTTCAACAAAAACACAAAATGAATGAATACCATATTTATTTCTCAAAAGAAGCTAAGTTGCATATAGACATAATAAATTGCCCTCAGAGACGAGTATAGCAAATCTTTACATATTTAGGATATTTAAGGCCTCAAATTTAAATGATTACATATAAGACTTATGGAAAAGGAAACCAAGGAGGGGGGGGTTACTGCTCCTTTAAGAAGCAGATACCACACTCAGCTTTCTTTGTGTAATGCACATTTTACTCCTCTGGCATTTTATACCTTCAAAGTTCTGGCTGTTTTGTAGATGACCTATTATAAAGTACATTTGACACAGGAGATCTATTTGTACCTGCCTTTGGGATTTTATTTTGTTTTATTGGCAAATGAGGAAATTAACCCAGAGCTTTGAGATGGTATAAATTTGACTGTTATAGAACATCAGAAAAAGGTTTACAAGGAAAAGCAGGATGAGATTGCTAACCACAATGCTCCAAATGAAACCTTTGTAAAAAAAAAAATGAAAAGAAGAAAAAAGATGAATAAATGAACCCACATTGATCTGACTGTGTTTTTACCTTTCCTCCATAGAGAGGGAATACTCCTCAGTGCTCCGCACTGGGGCTGGGTTTGCAGGAGGAGGGGGGAGAAGGTCAGCCCAATTCATTGGGCTTTGTTTGGCTAGTCTGGGGGTGCGCATCCCCTTCTTATGACCCTGACTCCCTGTTAAAAAAATAAAAAGGACACCCAGTCAGTAAAAACAAGCCTTCAGATGCACATCTGCAAATTCAAAGGAAGAACATTTAATCAGGAATGGAAACTAAAGGAAAATTGATGACAGATAAAAGGAACATTTTAATGGCTCACAGAAAAATATAGTTATTGAAATCGTATTGCTTTGGAAAGAAAGCAGTGAGACCAGTCTGTTTCCCTTAAAGACGTTTAAGTCGATACTAGGAGAAAAGGTATCAAGAAAACTGTACAAAACGGGTCCAATTAAAGGCAAGCTATTAAAATAGTGAACCAATGAGCTGTGATGTGCAAGGAGCAGTAAGGGCCTCTTCCTAATGGTTTGAACTTCAAATGTAATATCAGAATGGATACATAGCATTAAGGTGGCAGTGTAGCATGCCGTCTACACTGTGTAATCATTTGTCCTTGTCCACAGACAGACATTGAAAACTTAATGCAATTAGGCTGCCCCAAAATGAAAAATAAAGCCATTTAACAGAATTAGTGCAAAATAACCAAGGGCAAATAAACAAATGCTAAAGATGATTACAAAACAGGATTCAGAAATCCTACATAAAAATGTCCCTTTATCTACCGTCCTTTAAATATCCTTGGGCACGGTACGCCAAAAGAAAGTGAAAAAAAAACAAACACATTTAACATAATAAAAAAAAAAAGCTTAGCTGTATTACAAGATGTGTTGATTATTTAATTAATCAAATAAATAACTTTTTATATTTTTTCTTTGCAAACTCATTTACAAAGACTAGAGAATGTAGCCTGGAGCACAGTCGGTCTGCGTCATGTGACCGGTTCTGGATAATGGGCCCAGGTGGCTGTTGGTGTGGAGAAAAAAACAAAAACACTAGTGATAACTGTAAATGTAACATATTTAGGGGATAGGTTAGTGGATCGATGGAAGCACAGAATTACCGTTAATACATCTAGCATCTGTTACAGCTACTGGGTTTTTAAACACTGATCTGATTAACTTTGCTGTGGTATTAAAATAGAGAAAGTGTGGCCAACACCGACCCTAAAACAAGGTTGTATATATAATAATGTTTGATATCTAGAAACTTATCCTGAGGCAAATTTATTCTAAAAAACACCAAGCATCTTACCAGAGGTGCTACTGCTGCCTCGGTCAGAGCTATAGGAGCCCCCGGTGTGAGTGTCATGAGTCTGGTTGTAGGGGATGGTAGCAGGCAATGGGCTGTCGCCTCCTCTGTATCGGTCTGTTTGAGAAGGAGAATGCAGTTTGTAGTTTGTCCAGAGTTAGGTTCAGACTTGAGAAAAAAGTCATGTTTGTCTTATTAACTACTTTGAAATAAACACTAGACACTTAATGAAATAATGAGTTACAGTACACATAACAAGAGAGATGCAAGTGATTGTTCCCAGGTATAGATGTCAACACATACAACATATACATCAATACATATCACTCCATTAGTGAATAATAATAATTTGATTATAGTTTAATTTAAAGATGATTGATTTATCTTCTGTTTTTCTTTAAGAAAAGGTGATGAACCCTGAACAGCTGCCCTAATTGCAATACAAAATCCTAGACATCAAACAATAACTGGAGTGCTGGCTTAGCCCTGATTTAGATGCAAACACAGGCAAAAAGGATGATGGAGCAGTACATGAATGGCGAAGAGAAAAGCAGAAGGAAAGAGTAATGGTGCCTGTGTTCACTGAAAGGGACTCAAAGAAAGTCAAAGGATGAATAAGCATGGATCTGTGCTACAGTCATACAAAGTGAGGCTGAAACAGCCAGAGGTGGAAAGAACAGCAGGGAAAGTCAAGCGGAGGAGGATCATGGCTCGGAGATGACTTCTGCAGCCATAGCTGCTGGATATTCCGCACACTCACCCTTATTCAGTTTGTTTTGCTCCAAGATGTTGTACTGAAGCTGGGAGCCCATTTCCTGTTTCTGTTGGACTGAGGGAGGTTTCCAGCAGTGCTTCTCATTTAATTCCCCTCCACTTCCAAGTCCGCCTCCACTCCCTCCGGTCCCTCTGTCTGAGTTTATGTTGTTGCCCATGATGGCGGACTGGATGAGCTGTGTGGTGGCGTAAGGTGTCGGCTGCCCCCCTGGACCGACAAAGCGCCCGTCCTTTAGGTTTGGGCTGTTGAAGGTCTTCATTTCATTGATCTTGTTAGACAGGTCTACATCTCCATAGACTCCCGACTCTGGCACCATGAGGTTGGTCTGCTTGTTATCCATCTGGCTGTTATAATTGGCGATACAGTCGGCTGGAGAACATGAGGAGGGTATTTAAGTCAATCCTTTCCATACAGCTGATCAGCTTAGCACCTGTAAGCCATCCTAGTAAAGATTTCATACACTCTGATCTACTAAAGAGTTGAAAGACTTGTGCTTAAGCACAACACATACACATGTTTAACCTTTTAACACCACTGTCCACCCTACCTTATTCCGTTTGAAACCTTAGCTTTGTCTGTCAAAGATTTATACATTTCATAGGTGATTCTCAATAATCTAGATACTCATCAAAACACTGATTTATTTTGAGGACCATTTTTATGTTTTAACAAATATTATGCTTCTTAAACTAAATTGCTCAATTTTACAACCAAAGGTAGGTCATCTGACTTAGTTTTCCAGCACACAATCATCAATACCCTTCATAAGGAGGATATGCAAAAAAATTGTGACTATTGAACAACCTGACTGTTCAATGTTGAGTGTCCACACATATCCAAGCATGTAAATAGAAAGTTAAATGAATGGAAGGGGTCCACAACCAACTTTAATTTTGTGAAGCTAAAGGAAGTTAAAGGAAAATTCCGGTTTTTAACACTTTTAGCCCATTTTCTGTAGTGTCCAGGATGAAATCGAATGATCGACACCAAAATTTTGACAATTGGTCCTGTCTCTGCTATTTGGCTCATGCAGAATCCCCCCCTGGCTGCTTCAGAATGGCTTCCATAGAGCATGTCCGATAATGTCCTTAAAACAACCTTAAACGTTCTTTTTTTAAAATATGCTACTCACCGGGTCGTCAGCGCTGTTCAATGACGTTCCAAAAAAAGTTTCGTAAAGAAAAAACGTTCCTGTAGTGTTTTATTTAGCATTTTGTAAATCCCATTGAGTTCTGTTGGAATAGTCAATATCCCTCCGCCACCGGAAACGGAAATGGGGCCTGTTTACACAGTTGTAGTCTTTTCGCAAGGCCCAAGTGTTTCTGCTTCACTCTGTGTACTCCGACGTCGAGGTGCTAACGTCTCTGTTAAACACTTTAAAAAACTCTGAAAATGGAATACGAAAGGTGGATTCTTGAGGAGGACATATTGGATTTTGAGTTTGACGGTAGAGGATACCGTCGCCAACTAGTGGTCTGGAGTGTGCAACGCTTCAGATTCGAACGGGAAGCGGAAGTTTATAAGCGGTTGTGATGTATCGGAAAAAATAGTTCTGGGATTTACAAAATGCTAAATAAAACAAGACAGGAAAGGTTTTTCTTCACGAAACTTTTTTTGGAACGTCATTGAACAGCGCTGACGACCCGGTGAGTAGCATATTTTTAAAAAAGAACGTTTAAGGTTGTTTTAAGGACATTATCGGACATGCACTATGGAAGCCATTCTGAAGCAGCCAGGGGGGGATTCTGCATGAGCCAAATAGCAGAGACAGGACCAATTGTCAAAATTTTGGTGTTGATCATTTGATTTCATCCTGGACACTACAGAAAATGGGCTAAAAGTGTTAAAAACCGGAATTTTCCTTTAAAGGAATCAGTGCTTCAAGAGCAACACTTGAAGCCTGGACGGATCCAGGACATATCCCATAGTTTGCTAGTACTCTCCGCTCTGCTCCACCCCGTTGCCCCAGACTGTCTTGCAGCCTGTATCAGTGTGAGTGCATCACCTGTTGTCCTGTGTTCCTGTGCTCACCCTACTCTCAGTGGGGTTCTCTCTTCTGACTCTGATCATGACCTGGACTGCCTCTGCTTGCCACACTTGTTCCGTGTTACACTCAAGATTTACGGAAATACTGATTTAATTTCATTGCACAACTGTTACCTGTCCAGCCTAATACAAGTACCTTGTTAATTTTCACTAAAGCAATACTGGTTTAATGAACATGGAGTCATTGTGCTCTACTTGCCAAGCCTAAACCACATAGTGAAACTGTAGAATATTTGACGAGGAGGGTAAGAGACAGATTGCCAGCAATGCTGATGAACTGAAGGTCTCGTAATACCTGAGCAAAGCCATTATCTGATCACCTAAATGCTACAATACATTAATGTAGTAAATCATGCAATTGGGGGCCCTACACAAGTTTTTACTATGCATCACGTCCAGTACATCGAGATACTTTCCAGTAAGCTGACTGAAATGTATTGGCAATATTTTTTTTGTTTTTTATTTGCTGGTTTTTCTTCTTTATTTTTGGACATAACTGAATTATTGGTTTTTAAAATCTGCAAGTCAAATATCAATCAAAACATGTAAAATTAGCATAGGAAACTTGTTTAAATACATTCTGTTTGTAATGAATCTATATTTAGGCTTTAGGTTTTACTTTAAATTGATAAAATCCCAGAGGATAGACTTCAAAACGTTTATGTTAGCAAATGAAGTCCTTTGTCAATATGCCACATTATCTAGAACAAACTGCAACAAAACTTTAAAATGACTGAAAAGTTAAACCCTTTTAAAACCAAGTAAAAAAAATATTTTTAGGAGTTGACTTTGACTTTCCTAATGAAACCAGTACCTGAAATAGCATTAACTTAGATAGGTGATACCTGTGGTGTTGCACCTTTCCCCCTTAGTCTTACTAATGACTCATTGTGGATGTCATCTCAGTTTCTTTCCATCTGACGGTTGAAGCATCTTAACTCATTGAAAGGGAAAGCGAGACGTGTCTGTATCAAAGACATGGAACGAGGCACGCAGTAAAAGCACAGCTTCACTGACAGATCCAATTTTCCCTGGCTCATAAAATATTCAAATCCTCCAGCAGATCTGAGAACTAGCCTTGCGGTAAATACCAGAGCCTGCCATAGGTACATGCGGCTCGTGCCGTGCGCCTTACATTTCAGCTGCATAGAGCAGATCAACACTTCAAAGGCTGATGTATGAACGCGCCCCTATGGCTGAGATAAAGAGACATTAACTCTGATTGCTTTGCTCTGTCACCTAGTCAGTGATCCTCTTAATGTTCTGAGTTTAGTTTTGGCACACACACAAAGCATGCATCTAGCAAGCTCCTTTGTGTCATATAGCAGCGTGTCATGTGAGCGACTGAGGGCTTCCTTTTGCCTGTTATTCCCTGTTAAACATTGCACACTTTGTTCAACCTCAGAAGGGTGATTAGCACAAAGAAAAACTAAACTTGACTATAAAGTCTGCAAAATGAATTATTAATCCTCGCTGGGAGAGGGTGGAAGTACGTGGAAACTACTGAGCGGCTGGATGTATATTGGGTCGAACAGCTGGACAGGAGTTATGTGCTGCTATTAAAACCGTAGCCCCAAAGAGCATAATTTACAACATAAAACATTTTATTGCTGTCCAAGTTTCCACTGACAGGGTTGTTGGTCATGGCAGAAAACTATTAACATTAAGCCCTATCATCTAAGTGAAAGTTCTTGGCTGCTTTAACTACAGGTGACCGTTCTAGAAATAGTGTGGGTCAGCCCTGTGAAGTAATCTAAGCAAACCTAGCTTTTATTTTTAAGAATAGTACAGCATGAACTAAAATAGCACCCACTTTTATTCTATGGGATTTTAGCTTCTACTGTAACTTGGTCTTATTCACATTATATGTCAGGTAATTTCTAGCAAGCACTGAGGTCTTATTTTCTCTGTTTCTCATTCCTAGCTATGAAAGTGATAGTTGCTGAAGACATCAGCAGTCGGTGTATTAGAAAACACTATTTAACTATATGTATTTACATTCCAGAGAAAGTTATTGAGAGGCTGAACAGAAAATCAAAATTTACTTGGCCTCCATCTCCAAGCATTTGGAATTATATTAAGAGAATTATTGCAGAGAATCAATGCAGATAATATATTAACCACTTCATAATTTCATAACTTTCACCATATCACTAGCCTGGGTGCCATTCCGAACTTAGTCCCGCCCACAAAGTTTGAGGTCGGGAAGTTCGGTCTGGCTCTGCTCCATAGTAGCGCGAGTATTATCGCCCACTGTCAGGCGATCCAATCAAATTGTCAGGGCGGGCTTTATACGATGATGGACAGATGACCAACAGTAACGTAATCAACCACGTGACCAATGCGCGCTTGGGTGACAACAATAATGGCTGCCGCTGGAGAGTTTAGGTGAGTAGATTCCGCTATTAGGTCTGTTCTAGAAGATATCGACAGCAAATTAATTTTAAAAGAGGAACAGAGAAACGCGATCAAGGCTCATCTTATTATAGGCGTGCAACTGCACGCTTTGATTTTTGTGGACAACAACTATGCCTCGCTTAACATACGTCACGCACTCCGTTGCTCTTATTGGTTGTAGGTCTATCCAATTGAGTGCAGAGGCATTTTTTTTCCTGGTTCGTTCGAAACACGCCCCATAATCACAGCTCTATGGAGCAGTATCAGACTCATATTCTGACTAGAATTGAGTCGGACTACGTCAGGCTACCATATCACACCCTCACTTCAAAAATCTGAAACTGTTTTTTAACTTGACATATCTTAAGTTGAAGGCATTCCGGTAAAGGTCTTGGGAGAATTGGGAGCTAATGTTTTTTTAAGTTCTTAAAAAAACCGAACATTTTCAGGGGTACCCTTAGAAAGTTGTGCTTGCATATACACCAACAAATATAAATACTTTCTCAGTTAACATATTTTTTTTTTATCTCAAACTACCATTGCAATTTCTAATTAAAAGTATTCAGATTAATTGTATATTTTCATCACCCTTAGTTTTTGGTAAAAAGCATATAATCGAGATAAATAGTAGAAATGTATAAAATTAAAATATTTCACGACTATCTTGTTTGTAGATATTGGTGATCAGCCTGTTTTTCAATATAGTCCTGTTTCTCTGACTGTGACTGGCTGGATTTGCTCTCTTCATCCTATGACATGGGAGCTGGACTCTTCTGCCTTGCTGTGTGTTTCCTGGAAGGGGTTTACAGTTGCCTTTTGTATCTATGCTTCTTTTTCTATCTCTGCTTCTGTCTCCTTGAACCCCAGTCAGCCTCGGCAGATGGCCGCTCCCTCTGAGCCTGGTTCTGCTGGAGGTTTCTACCTGTTGAAAGAGAGTTTTTCCTCTCCACTGTCGCTACAAGCATGCAAATGTAAGGGGTTGCCTTCAAGTCAATTAGTCGACGCAATCGACTGATTTTCCTTAGATAGAAAACTTTGAATCAATTTGACTGTATGATCTGGTGAACTGTCAAGTGCCTTGAGATGACGTGTGTTGTGAATTGGTCCTATATAAATAAACTGAATTGATTATGATAATGATGACAATATATAGCTTGATGTGTGACAACATTTGATTCAAACTGTACAGCTTTTATTTTATTTACAAATACTAGAAACATAAAATGCTACTTTGTAATATTAGCTTTTTTCAGTATGGTATAAAATTAATGCAGGAGGTATAATACCATTATTAAGCTATAAACACCACCTGTGGGTCTACCGTCTGTCAAATTTGGGAGTTTTTTTTTTAATCTTTAACAGATAAGGTGTGAGGGAGTGCTAGTAAGCAACATCAAAGTAGTTTAGATCCTCAAGTGCATCATCTTTGCTTTACCTAAAACTTATCAGCAGCAGATACAACAGAAATGACATTGAACAAGTTTTTAGAAAATTTTATGGTTTTAACTACTTAATATGCTCATGACAATTCTGCATTGCTTATGAACAGAAGCATCTTAATTCATTGTTTTAATTAAATAAGGCATCAAATTAAAAAGTCCAAATGCCTATGTTCCACTCTTTTATTATGTTTGTCAGTATTTCTGTTGATCTTTCTTACAGAATATTTGAGTATTATTGCATAAGGGGCTAATTTAATAGAATTTTTCTGTTTCCTTTAAAAAACTAATAACAATTAATGTGGATATATGCTGCAATTGTTTTGAATCATGCATATGAGCCTATCAAGACAGAAATGATTCTGCATCAGCATCCTGTTTGTTAAAAGCATAGTTAAACTAAATAAAGTTGCCAAGGCACCTTACTTTAGGGCGGAGGGATAACTAAGGAAATGAGATTTAACCTAAAACTATCCCCTGCTTTCTGCTGATCCTCCCTCCATCATTCCGTCTTTTCCTGCTTCTGGACACTATCTGCAGACCAGCTCTGACCTCCTCGCCTGCTGCACATTTCTTTAACAACTGAGCACTTAGAGGAAATTACATTACCCGCAATAACAACTGTATGGAAATCAGCAGAGCAATTTGATTAGCAACAGAGTAGAGCTATAAGCCCTGCTCAGTATACTCCCTTTATTTCCTGCCTAAAACAGCTCTACCCCAACCTCAGATATATCAAACACACAAAGCACAGGCTCACTGCTCTCCTGGTTTTATTTCTTGTGGAAACCTACAGAAAGCAGAGATGCACACACCAACTCTCTAGGGAGCTAACCCAGATATCAGATTGTACTTCCCTTTTTCACTGCAGATTCCCCCAGCTCTCACATTTCTTATCACCATAACTATTTCGTCAATGACTGCACCATCTCCTTTGAGAGAATTGTTTATTTTTGTCGCTCCCTGCATATATCCGGCCTGATACTGACATACCTGGTCGGCTGTATGTTGCCAGGTTGCTGTCGCTGTTGCCGTTGCCTGCAGTGCAGCAGTTGATGCTGCAGTCATTGTGCTTGGAGCAGGAATTGGGCCACGTGTCGGCCAGCCAGGGTTGAGTGGCAGAGTCACCCATGTTTAGCAAACCAGGCCTGTAAAAGAAAACCAAATGTTAAACAATAGTGACAGAGTAAGCCTACACCACAATGACATTCATCTGAATGAACTGAAGTACCCACAGAAACAGAAGATTATGGTGGAGTTTATTTATCCAGCTGAGAAGTGGAAACTAAAAAATCCGGCTTTAGTAGTTTTTGCCTTTTGGCCAAACACACACTGAGGGAACACATTAGGGGAAAAAAAACACAAGCCCAGCTAAATAGATTGTGTGTGCTTGACTTGCCCAGAGCCGACAACATTTCTCTGAGCCCCCGTGAGTATTAGCGATCCGCTTGGATTAGACAGCCAGATAAAACTCACTCCCAATGTTGCGAAATGCACATCCTGAGCAGTCAGTGAACCACAAATACACCCTGAATAGATTCCATGGTGTCACATAATATCTCTTTCATTCCAATAGTTTTTTGTTTTGTTATTTTTAGTTGAGCAGAAGACAAAGGAAGAAAAAATATTTTTCTTCATTGTCTTTATCTCTTTATCAAACATTTGAAACAATAAAGATCAATCTTTGCAAATTAGGAAATCAATAGACCAGTCTTTTTTATCAATGTGACACATTTTAGGACATTTTCATGTAAGTTTAGTTATAGCTTAAAGCCAGTAAATCCCCCAAATAAGTTTGATCAGTGAATCAGAATATTACATAAGAACAATCATGAGAAGAATATTTAATACAGGATGAAGGATGAACCATGGAAGATCTTTCCTAACTGAGCACAACTTTCAGGTAGTGCTGTACCCACTGATATTAATGTGGAGTTAAGCAGAAGGAAATGTGTGGTTAAAAAAAGTTTTATAAATAAAGCCTTGGGAAAATTTAGAAGCAAAGCTAGTTAGAGAGTTTTGCTATTTTTTTTCCTTTCATATCCCTGTGTTATTACTTGTATCAATGTGAAAATATATTAATCCTTTACGATAAATATATATTTTTAATTGGTGCTATGTCATTTACTAAATTTCTGAGAAACTTAGTTTTACTAAATTAAATTTCAAAAAATGGTTTTAATACAGACTTATTTATGGCCATGTGGAATGTAACTGTTGTCCTAGATACATATACATGAGGTGGCTTTTGAAGTTTAGACTTTATCAGTAGTCCTTGTCTTTTACATTTTCCCCAACGTTTTAAATGGGCTTTATTTCTCTGTTTTAACTTGTTTTTGTTTTGACTTTTTTCTTATAGGCAATGTTTCATTAATATGCTTGATATAAGATTCTGACCAGCCAGCACCTTTAGCATAAACCTTTGGCTGCTTACCATCGATGTGGAGGGTGTTACAACATATATGCTGAATCATTAGGAAGCCAGTGTTCTTTTCCATAATTGCTTACACCATAATTTACCATTTCAAGCTAAAAAATAATTGTTCATTTATAACTAGGCAGGACTGTTATTTTTTGAGTTTTTAAACCTCAATAATAGAAACTGAATTAACAGAATGTATTCCTTCAAAGACAGCCTCTGAAATATATATATTTTTAAGGTATGTTGAACGTTTTTAATTACTTTTAGAAAGAAATACATTTTTTTAAATAGACCTGTGCAACATCTGTTAACTTGACTGTACTGTGCAACCTGACCTTTAGTAAAATGGTTAGTCTAAAAAAAAAAAAGCAACATATTGTGTTTCTATTGATAAATAACTTACCATACAATGCAAACAAGACAAGAGGGTCCACCTCAGCAGGGCCATCTATTGTTTTAGTGTTCAAATTGGTGCAGAAAGATTCCCACTCTAAATATCCAAGCCCTGAATTAGCATTGAATTGCATTTCCTCACTCTAAACGACTCATTTCTTGGATTCATTTTTGGTAATGAACACATTTGTCTTTTACAGCCAAATACAATCTCACAATAGCTCCTCAATCACCCCAGCAGCTCTATGTTGAATATCGAACAACCATTGTTGTGTTGCAGAGCTGACATAGCCTCACTGCATACAGGATTCAATCATACAACTGGGTAATGTAATGAATATAGATTTACTGTTGATGGCTTCAAGCTAACTATTCATTAACACATGAACAATACACACATTTATGGCAAAATATTAAGTAGACTCTGTACTCTGAGCAGAAATCGGGTAATAATTGAATGCATATTTTTTCTCCTTTGTCTATGTTTGCAAGCTATATGGCGATATGCAAAAGGCCATCTAGCGGATGTGCAAATGAGTTTTGGTGGATTTAATTCTGATGGGACTCACTGTTTATGCTTATTACCCCATTTCACTGTATAGGAAGCTGTGCTTTGCAGCAAGTGCATGCCTATCCATGAATGTTTAATATTGAAGCTGTGGCACAGCCTTGTGGTTGGATGTGGCCCTTCACTATATGTGATAGGGATGGGCTTCTGGCAGGCTGCATGTGTCTTTGTTCCTTGGGTAATACAACACACTTAGTGCACCTACATGCATCTCCTGCCTTGAGGAACTTAAGCAAAGGCTCAGATCCCCCCCTAGTGGCTGTGAAACATAGTACAAATGCCCTACCCTTATCTTACATTCACAAATGTTTTTTTTGTTTTTATTATTAATAAAGCATTTTTTATTCAAATATACTTATGGTCAAGAATGTTTATACAGTTTTGTTGTAGTTAATGAATAGAAACAATCTAAATAAAACCTTACCTTCCAGCAGTGCTGACGCCTTCCCCACCCCTCTGGTATGCCACTAAAAAAAGAGAAAGTAACAGTTTCAGGTTTCCTTTCATGTACACAAGGCTGCATAAGAAAAGGAAATAACCAATTTTTATACAGCTCATGTATATATCTTTTGTATTGTAAGTGGTGGATAATGTCAAGTGATAGAAATAATATATAGTTTCCTTTTGTCATTTACAAATATAAAAAATGTAAAGGGTGGGATGCATTTGAAATCAGTCTCATAAGTCAGTTCATTACAGAATAAAACGTTTCTGCAGTCACAGCTGCAGGTCTTCTGGGGTTTGTTTCTATTAACTGTAAAAAGACAGGTTTTTTGTTTTTTTTTTGTGCCTATTTTTTGCAATTCAGTTTAAAGTCCGATTGGATGGAGATTACCTGTAAGCATCAATTTTCAAGTCTTGCTACAGATCCTGAGGTGGATTTATATCCGGACTTTGGATATGTCTTAAACAAAATTTTATGTTCGGGCTAAAATGTTAGCACTGTTTTCTGGTTAGAGGGTCAACCTTTGACCCTGTCTTTTAGAGTTTTTTTTTTTTTTTTTTTTTTAAGCAGGTGTTTAGGCATCATTGCCATGCATTTAGCCCCATCCATCTTTTCATCTACTCTGAACAGCTTTCCTGCATGACAAAAGAATCCCTAAATCATGATGCTGCCAGTCCTACATATTATATTGGGTATTATGTGTTCACATTTACATGAGGTGTTTGTTTCTTCAGACATAATCAATCAACAATTAAAAGTATTTGCTCTCATTTTGTTGCCATAACAAATGTTTCATAAGATGCATAACCTAAAATCCGCACGTGACAGGCTGTGAAACAAAGGATAAAAACAAGGTTACCATGTAAAGTCTAAGCTTCACAGTGATGCAAAATCATTTGTGTTCAGATAGATAGAGATACGTGAGGCATTCACTTTATCTGTACCAATTAATCGTTATATCCGGAGAAGGAAGTGATACGAGGCAAGCATACTTAAAGCAGAAAAAAAATGTGTTACAGTACTAGTAATAGAGTCAGTAAAGCCACAGATAAACTAGTAGTTTCCTACTTATCAATATAGAATTGATTTATTAATTCCTTATCCTTAAATTATTTTCTGAGAGATTTTCAGAATATAATCTCCACAAAACGATAACATGATAAAAATATCACAGGATCATACCTTGTGAAAAAACAAAGAAAACATACACTGTAATTTAAAACAACTTGATTAAAAAAGCATATAAGGAATCCTATAAAATACACATAAATCAAATAAGACTACCTACAGCTCCTTGCTCAGTCAGTTCATGCTTCTTAGGTTCTGTCCCACTAAATATTGTAAAGAAGGAGTTCTGTTTGTTTTACTTCAGGAACAGTGCTTTTGTGATCAATATTTGAATATCTGCAGCTCCTACAGAGTTACCATGGGTAACCTGACTGCCTCTCTCATTAGCGTTCGACAATGGCTTCTTAATTCTGGCATATTTCGTTTAGGCAGGCCAGATATATTGGTGTGTAACACTCTTTCTGCTTTTGAATGATATATTAAACAATATGTTGTGAAGTTTAAAAAACTTGGGATAGTGTTGAATAGTGACTAGTCTGTTGACTCCTCCTGTGTTACATCTATATATTCATTTCAAACAAGTGCTGGAGAGATAATAATAGCATACGGCTAGAAGTGGCTAACTACAAATACATGCCACACTTTTCAGATTATATTTCTCAGAAATATTTTGTTATCTGTCTCCCATATCAGAATTTTTTAAAGAACGCTCTGATAAAATACATTAAAGTTTAATGTTTTACAATTAAAATCATATATATATATATATATATATATATATATATATATATATATATATATATATATATACACTATATTGCCAAAAGTATTTGCTCACCTGCCTTGACTCACATATGAGCTTAAGTGACATCCCGTTCCTAATCCATAGGGTTCAATATGACGTCGGTCCACCCTTTGCAGCTAGAACAGCTTCAACTCTTCTGGGAAGGCTGTCCACAAGGTTTAGGAGTGTGTTTATGGGAATTTTTGACCATTCTTCCAGAAGCGCATTTGTGAGGTCGCACACTGATGTTGGACGAGAAGGCCTGGCTCTCAGTCTCCGCTCTAATTCATCCCAAAGGTGTTCTATCGGGTTGAGGTCAGGACTCTGTGCAGGCCAGTCAAGTTCATCCACACCAGACTCTGTCATCCATGTCTTTATGGACCTTGCTTTGTGCACTGGTGCACAGTCATGTTGGAAGAGGAAGGGGCCAGCTCCAAACTGTTCCCACAAAGTTGGGAGCATGGAATTGTCCAAAATGTCTTGGTATGCTGAAGCATTCAGAGTTCCTTTCACTGGAACTAAGGGGCCAAGCCCAGCTCCTGAAAAACAACCTCACACCATAATCCCCCCTCCACCAAACTTTACACTTGGCACAATGCAGTCAGACAAGTACCGTTCTCCTGGCAACCGCCAAACCCAGACCCGTCCATCAGATTGCCAGATGGAGAAGCGCGATTCGTCACTCCAGAGAACGCGTCTCCACTGCTCTAGAGTCCAGTGGCGGCGTGCTTTACACCACCGCATCCGACGCTTTGCATTGCACTTGGTGATGTATGGCTTGGATGCAGCTGCTCGACCATGGAAACCCATTCCATGAAGCTCTCTGCGCACTGTTCTTGAGCTAATCTGAAGGCCACATGAAGTTTGGAGGTCTGTAGTGATTGACTCTGCAGAAAGTTGGCGACCTCTTCGCACTATGCGCGTCAGCATCCGCTGACCCCGCTCCGTCAGTTTACGTGGCCTACCACTTCGTGGCTGAGTTGCTGTCGTTCCCAAACACTTCCATTTTCTTATAATACAGCTGACAGTTGACTGTGGAATATTTAGGAGCGAGGAAATTTCACGACTGGATTTGTTGCACAGGTGGCATCCTATCACAGTTCCACGCTGGAATTCACTGAGCTCCTGAGAGCGACCCATTCTTTCACAAATGTTTGTAAAAACAGTCTGCATGCCTAGGTGCTTGAATTTATACACCTGTGGCCATGGAAGTGATTGGAACACCTGATTCCAATAATTTGGATGGGTGAGCAAATACTTTTGGCAATATAGTGTATATATATATATATATATATATATATATATATATATATATATATATATATATATATATATATATATATATATATATATATATATTTTGAAATGCCCGCAAAGTCATTGATGATGGAATGTAGAAATGTTTGAATTGTTTCAGCTGTCTGAGTGGCAATGGGAGGAGGATGTAGTATAAGAGGCTTATGGCGAACAAATATGTGTAGCCTTTTACTGCTCCAGCTCAGGTTCTACGACTTTAAAGCTCTGCACGCTGGAAGTTTAACACTTTTAAGGGTTTCTGAGCTGCCAGCGTGTGAAAGGGAGATAAACCTCCAACTTTAATTACAATCTCTACCCTCAGAGGAGAGGGGGTACAAAAGGATGAGCATGTGCTTGGCTTTGTTCTTTCCCTTTCTTTTTTTTTTTTTAAACTGACAGTGTACTTTTTTATTTTCTTTTTTTTTTATCCAAAGGAGGTAAAATTGTCTGGTTGCAGGTTAAAATCAGCATAATACTTTGCACAGTCCTGTTTTTCTAAAACTGTAAAACCGTGTTACTTGTGTGAGGAATGAATCTGACCCCAAAGAGTTTCAAACAAATACAGGAACAAGCCTGCAGCTGCAAAGGGATTCTGCGTGATTGCAACCCTCAAGGCAGATAAAAAAATGACAAATGCAGGAGTAGCTACAGATAGTAAAGTATGCACAGACAAGATCAACAATTGCACATAGTCTCTTTACTCTCCATCTATTGCTTACTGTTGTGTCCTTGTGGCCAAGATTCCTTTTCCTTCCAAAGGAGTTTAGTGAGTCAGAAAACCACAAACACAAACTCATTTAGAAGGATAGCTTTTCTTTTTATCTGCTTCACGCCAAGTCACTTTGATTCACAGATAACCTCCTTAAGTCCACTGCCTGTCTAAACGGTGCATCAGTACTGTGTCCTTCTCTAAAATCCCATCTAGTGTTGCAAGCAGCCCCTTTGATCAAGTTACTACTGGTTTAATAGCCTCTTAGTGGAGTCTTGATCTCTGGCTCAGAGTTCTGACAAAACCGAAATACTGAGCAGAACTTTTGTTTCTAACAATCTCTGAAAATTATTGGTTTATTTTATTGTCTGTGTTGAGTGCTGATTTTATTCAGTAATTTCTTCTTTATAGATTCTACTTAAAAATTTCAGACATTGTCACATATTTTAGTCATTTGCTTACCTGTCGGTGTGAATGTAAAAGATGGAACTGTCAAAAAAAAGATGAAAAAATGTTAGTGTGTTTGAGCTTTAAACAGTATTTTTTCCACATTATTAAGTAACCTCTTACAGCTAATCTGAGACAGTTTTCAAACCTGAACTACAGACTTACAAGTCTGATCCATTAAGTAGACGTTCTTAATCAACCAGCTGCTGGTTTTAATCAACACCTACAGTAATAATTAGAGATGCACCAATCCACGGGCCAATTTCCCCTTGACTGGCTCTGGTCAATGATCTCCAAATAGTGATTAAAATGTGTATTTAATTATTCTTTTTATATTTAAAGAAGTAAATAATTAAACCGATTTAGGTACTAAAACTAATAGTATGGTGAAAGTCAAACTAAGGTTAGGGACCAATTCTTCGATCCATAAATGGGAATGATCTTGTTGGATTCAAAAGCTGTAACCCCTACGTGTTTACAAATCTTTGAATGAAAAGTTTAAAATGCAAGCAATAACATCTATTTAACAGTTTTTGTGTAAATTCAACAATACCTTGAAATAGCATTTTGTTTTGTTTTTTTGTTTAACCAAAAAAAGGACTCTCATACTTGCCTAAAATTAAGAATAAATAAAATCTGAAAAAATGGATGTCATTTTTGTTTTACTGATCAAACACAGAGCAAACAATAACGCTGTAAGTACTGAAGGTGGATGTAATATTTCACTGTTACCCAGTACACATTACCTAATTTAAAATATCCAACAGGAACAATGCTTTTCTTTTCCTGTGATGTGTTCATTTAACTGATTATCTGTTCAAAGAAACATCCTCCAAGCACAATAATCTTATCATGTTTAAATCTCTCCTTCTGATTCTTAAGCAAGTCTAAATATATCGGCTGTCAGTTGGCTTTTATCTCTTTGATGAATGTCTTTGATGAGGAGACATCGCCTAAACTTAAAACCTCTGAAAAATGCAAACGTGACCAAAATATATAAAATCAGGTCTCCATTGAGAACATGGGCTGGATCATCACAAGATGATGTGAGGTATGATTGTACGTATTTATTTGTTAATTTTGCACATATAAACATATTCACACATCAGCACCATAAGGTTTTTAAATTGAACCTTGAACAGCTTACTGAATGGACAAAAGTAGCAGTAAAGTGCTAAAAGGCTAAGGTAGAAGGATTCAGTGTATGTGTTTTTATTAACAGTTAGTTGCTTAAAATTATGTAAAAGGAAAACAGAAAAGGGAAAAAAAAAGCTACTTTAAAGAAAACAATTTTCCACAACGTCTTGAGACATGTTTCCCATTTAATCCATGGTGGGTGAAAGAAAAGAAAATTTAGACCTGAAGCAGCCAACCGGAAGCCTATATGGAGAACAACTTCAATTTGCTTGGTTTTCTCTTTTCAATCTCTTGCAGCATGATGAGCTTGGAAATGTTGACAGATTGTAAAAAATCTCCGAGTTAAGATGTTTATTGGCTAAGGAAGAGGCACAGAATAATGTTTAGAATTACAAATAGCAACTATAGCAAGCACTAATATTCAGATGCGAAAGTGTGTGAACTTTTATTCAAATGTTTATTTTCTAATAGATTATAATTAGCTAAATTTCTAAATAAAGCTTGTTGTGTATTTTATTTTCTATTCACTAATTTCAACAGCCGCATATCTATCAAATGAAAAATGAAAGATGCTGATAACTCCTCAATGGACATCTCATAATATATTAATAAAACACCATTTTATACCTACTGCTCTCTCTCACACACAGTGTGACATTTTCTTTTCTCTCGATATTTATAATTATTTATAATTTAAGGAAGCAAGGCTTCCTTTAATATATGTAAATAGAGTTATATACAGTTCAATCCTCACCAGCACTTATAGTGTATATCCAGTAGTAAACAGCCAAAATAGGAACTGGAATTCAATAGCTTTATTTAAATCATAGCTCAGAAATTGATCATGCCATTTTATGCATCTATGCCTTGCGTGTTACAAGTAACACCAGCCACACATGCACACACACATCCCAATTCAACCTTTTCCCCCCAAACTGCCAATTGTTGATTCATGTGGTTGCAATTATCCTCTTTGAAAACATTCTTGGTTACCCATTCTAACAAAGACTGTGGTCTTTTGTGGTCTAGTAGCACGAGGAGACAAGAGGGAAGGAGGAGGATGAGAAGGAGAGCATGCATGCCTACTGTTCCTTGAAGAGTTCAGTTTTTTTACCCTTCTTATCCAAGTTAGCATCAACATACAGAATCAGAGTGACAAAAGGTAACCTTAATCTGCATGTCATTCTTCTTTCATGCTTGACCGCAAGTCATTGCTGCATCCTGTAATCTTAGACATCAGTAAAGGCAAGACAGCTCTAGCCGTTACACCCCACACAGGTATCTGTACATGTGCATAAAAGTTCACGAAATCTTAGCTGAGCTGTATCTTGCTTGACATTTTTCATCAGCCGTGGCAGCAGCAGACTAAGGACATGGATGGTCTTTGTTTTCTACGTGGCAGCCTCAGATTAAAAGCTAAATCAGTCATTTGTTTGTGCATCAAGGTTGAAGGGTGGATCTCCTCTAACACTTGTGCACAGCACTAAAACCGAGCCAAGGACCAGGGATGGAAAAGGTAGTGCTCACAGCTGCACAGCCTAAGGCCACACATTAAGCCAGCTCAAACATAATTGAGACTAAGATAGAAAGGCTAATGACTGTCTTTGTATCTTAACCACTGTGGGCAGGGGCCAGGCATGTCATGAACTCTGTCACTTTGACTTCAAGTAATACCTAGACATATACAAGCAAACCACTGTGTCTTCGGTTGTCTTTTCTAGATTTCACATGAATCCAAAATACATTTGGATCACTTTGGTCTCTCAAGAAGATAAGCAGAAAAATAGATAAATCCACCTCCTCCATGTTTGAAGGCCTCTCCCTTAAAGGACAGGGAAATTGAAGGCATGTGAAAATGTCAGTATGTCCTTGATAAAGAGAGTTTAGAGCAAAATACTATTTCCTAACACAGTCAGATGGGAGTTGTTAGAAAAAGAGGGGAGTTTTTTTGGAGCTGGAAAAACACTTGACTGAAAACACACTTCACACTCTTGCAGAATGAGCATGACAGAATCATGAAAAGACATCTTCATGCTGTAGTCTCAGCGGGACTTCAAGTTGCTTCCTAAAGAGAGTCTTTTAGAGTGTGCTCTGCAAATAAAGCTTTTTATGAGAAAAGATATGAGAGATTGGCAGCTTTTGGATAAAACATAAAAATAACTATATAAAGATTTAGTAAATATTGCATTATCCCTGACATATTCGGACCCTTAACCAAAGGTTTTAGTTTTGCACTGTTTTCCTTGTGCACTTACCTTTGCGTATGCCTGCATAGCTGCTGGAGAGGCCATTCCTTTTTTTTCTATGCCTGTATAACCAGATACTGAAGACCATAAGGATGATCCAGCATGCTGCTCCAATTCCCGCGATAAAGGCCGGCTGTTTGACCACATCTGAGATCTGCTGGGAGAGAGGGTTCTCCTGGTTCATGGTCTCAGCCATTCGTCCAGATGAATCTAAAGAAATGGTAGCATCAAAGAGGTGTATGCAGGGTTTAGAATGACTTAAAGTGTACATTTTGAACGTGACATTATTATTTGTCTGTTTTATTTTATGTTAAAAAAAAACTGAGATTTATTATGTAGGGAAAGTCTTAAAAACAAATGTATGAAAAAGTGGAGATGCATTGAGGGATAAAAACATTATTCGTAGACTGTTCTGGTCAGAAAGGTCCAGGATGAACATGTAACAAAGCTCATTGAATCTGCTCTGATCAGCTCTGATAATAAAGCGTATCTTTTAGGTGTCAATAACAGGTTTTGCTATTGACATTTCTTTATGTCAAACGACATTTATATCTCCTACAGTTACAATAATAATAAATCTAACATGGCAAAGCATGAACATTTGGTGTCTATTCTAAAATTGTTGAGATGCAACAGCCAACATTACTGTCCTAAATGTTGAGTCGAGGAGGGTTCACTGTGTGAGGGGAAGTCATACTGTCCTAGTTTGCATCCATAATTGACTTGGGAATTCTGACAGGAATTCAGAGCTCACCAATCAGCCTAACATCCAATATTGATGCACGTAGAATGTAGTGAAAGTTGCTGATTCAAACTATTGGTACTAATGATTTGCATCTTCTACTCATACTGATGATGACTTTTATTTCAAATTATAAGCTATACAACATTCGGGGCTTCAATAACTATCTGCACAATAAATAGAAAGTGCCTAAGTTTGGCACGCTCAACTTAGGTGTACTGCTTTTTTTCAGCTTTAAACTCTGTCTTGATCTGAAAAGCAATTAAATGAAAAAAAATAAAATAAAAATAGACACTCAAAATGTGTCCATAGGTAACCAGCAAACAGCTTTCTGTGCTTAAAATATGAATCAATTTCCAGATTTGTCCAAAATTGGCAGGTATGAGAGACAACAATCACACACAAACATGAACAATATGCAGAGAAAATAATAAAGCTACAGACTTATATCAAGTGTGGATCCAGTGGACCGGAACATCCTGGGTGTAACATAAGCATTTTGGGGGGAGTTAACAATGGGTGCTACTCTTTTTTTTTGTCCTGGTTTACAGCTTCACAGAGAATGAGCCAAGGCCAAAGACTGAGTTTTTCTAAAAAAATACGATTTTATTAAACGAAACAGAAAACCAGTCATCCAGATCAAAACATCATGCAAGTGTTAAAGAGATACAGTAAGTGTTTGTAGGTATTCTCTACAAAATGTTAACATAGGGCTGTGGTCCATTCAGACTCGGGGAGGATTGCCTCGCTTCATCTCAATGGGAATACATACTGAATTTGAATCTTTGTCAATGTTAATCATGATCAGAATGAAAACTTGTACATCGAGTTTAAAATAAAAATTATAATAATAAAAAAAATATTGAACTTATTTGATCTTACATTGAAGAAATTTACCTCTGCATTAAACCCATCCCCTTGGTGAGCAGTGGGCGCTTGGGGAGCAATCTGGGATTAAGGGTCTTGCTTAGAGAGCCAGAGTAGATTTCTGTGGGAGTGGGTTTCAAACTCACAACCTCAGAATGCCAAGCTCTACGCTCTAAATACTAGGCTTCCACTCCCGCCCTTCTAGGCCGCCACTCCCTCACTAAATGAGATTTTCTTTAAAAATTATTAAGTCTTGGTCTTGAAAAAGATCTGAATAAGCCTAACTTTGCTGGCAGTTCAAAGCTTTTCAAAAACCAAGATTGAAGATAATTAATGACAATACTCAATGTATTGTGATAAAAGAGGTTATTTTTTCATTCTGGCAGGTAAGGAAAACAAAAAACAGCTATGAGTATAATCCAAAAGGCTTTCATTGAAGATCTAAGCCAACTAAGGCAGGTGAATAGAGCCTGTGGAGGCATTGCTTCAGTCTGACAAACTCAGTTAGAAAAAAACACATATGAGACATTTACATGTACACTAAGCAATGGTGTTTTTCCTAAACAGATAAACAGATCCAGAAAGATCACACCCAAACACACACACACAAACCGGAATAATTAGCAAACAGAGGCACAACTGTGAAAAACTGAGGCACGAATGCCTTGAAGCTGTGAAACGCGTCAGTACAGCTGCTTACAACAACCTGCTTCTTCTTGATCTATTTTTCTCATCAGTATCTGTTTCTTCCCCATGTCTGAGATTTGAAAGACTTCTCTGACTCGCCCCTTTCTTTGACATTTCGATTTTTTTCTTCGTGTTCTCGTTACTTCATCATCCTTTTGTTTTTCAGAGTGAAGTCTGAAGCCAAAGCCTGTCAAAGAATCTCTGAAAGTCCAATGAATGCCAGCGCCTTGCCTTCACCACACCATATCTCTCTGTTTGTCTCAGTCGCTGAGTCTATGTCTCTGTTTGGCTGCCTGGCTTCTCAATTTGTGACTGTGTCTGTCTGAAGGAACAGAGCATGCCAATGTGACTAAGCAGCCCACAAGGGATTGTTCAGGTATCCAGGCTTAGGATGATGCGTGCAAGCTTGAGAGTGTGACAAATGCGTTTGGGTGAAGCGCCGGTCCCTGAGGCCCATTGTTCCACTCCAGTGTTGGAACATGGCAACAATCACCACAGGAACTCTTCAAGTGAGATAAATGGTATCCGTCACAGGGAATGCTTCTTCATTCCCATCCCGACCCACTCAATCACATTTTAAAACCAGATGGAGACATTTTTTGCTCTTCTCTCTCTCTCGCACACTCTCTCATGCTAATATTTGTTTTGTTTTTTCTTAGTCATTAGTTCAAAAAATAAATGGGACAAATTTTTGCTCAAAATATTTGGTTTATGTGGAAAAAAAACAATGCTTTGAGATGGAATGTATTTCTTTGCATTAGTGACATTGTTATCTGGGAAGGGGCAAAAACATCTTTGAATACAGAATAGAACAGAGAAGGGCGTGGCCCTCAGCTCTGCAGCTTTGTAGGAATTCAATGCTCCAGCTAGCTACGTTAAACTGTTTTACACAACACACATCCAAAAATACCTTGTTATTCAAACCTCTCTTTTGATAGTCTGTGTAGCAGCAATCAACTAAAGCATAGTTTTCAGGCATAACTGATAATAAAAAAGCATGTTGAAGCTTGAACATAACTAGCCCCACTTACATAGAAGTCTGTTTAGCTGACAAAAGGTCATGATGATAAAAGCTCTATTTAAGGCAGTTAATGTTATGATTCTTATGTGATAGAACTGTATTCACTTTCAAGGAGTGTAATATCATTTGTATTTAAGACCATTAAAACAAGTAGCCTTACTTGTTCTAAGCTTTATAACTGATATTGTCTGCTCAGCCTAAAATAAGTTAAATATTTGTTTTTTTAGAAAATTTTTTCTTATTTTTCCATTTCCAGTGCTCTTAAATTTAGGGTACGTAACCTTTGTGCCTTCTTACATACAGATATATTTATGTGTGTGTCTATCCGTTCTATCTGGATATTATTTAAATGGAAGTGTTTGAAGTAGAAGTTTCCAAACTTTCAGCTTCTAAACCACAAAATGTTAAATTAGTTGAGTATAAGCACATTTTAAAAAAATCTAATAACCAAGTGTGTAATTACTGTTTTCAGTGATGCTTTTTATATTTTAAACAGAAATGTTTATTGTTCAGTTTATGTCTGTAGTGGCACGGAAGACCACAGATAGTTGATCAAGGGCTATAATTGAGGTCACGACCCCCAACTGAGGGAAATACTATTCTAAAGAATGTAGATCCTCAACTTAACCTTCAGATTTCCATTAGACTAAAAAATCAAGGATGTTCCATAACAGAAAAAAGATGAAAGCTGGACAGAATAAAACAGAGCAACTATTCTGGTTCTGTTCAAGCTTTTCTCTTTTCTGCACCTTCCTTCTTAAACACCTTATAGATACAGACAATAACTGAAATGGAGTCTTCTTACTGCACTAATGCATATACAAAAATATTTGGTTATCTCTACTTACCAAACTGAAAGAAAGTAGTTTCACTCTTCACCCCAGGACCGGCACTGGTGCTGGCTGCTACCTCAACGCTGTATCGGATCCCAGGTATCAAACTGGGAATCATTACCGACAATGTTGACCCATCAACCGTTTTGTTAATGTGATACTTGCTCTCATTCCCCAAGCACCAAATCTGCCATAACAGAGAAAAACAATAATTCAAACCGCTGCACTTTAATAAACTTTAGTGAGAGCATTTTGTTTGAATGTTGCCATGATGTAGGCATACAATATGTATAGAATTACATCCAAAAGGCTGGAACACATCAACAGGTAGCCATAACATATCTAGGAGTAGCCTTAGAGCAATGAAAAACAAATGGGGGGCCATAACCCAATTTTGACAAAGGCCAAAAGGTGCTGCTCAAAACATTGAAGACTGGTCAAAACCAGAAGTCAAAATTTACCTCAGCGTGAGACCTAAAGACCTCCACCGTTCCAGCCTAACTTTTTGCTTTCTGTACCCCTCACCACCTTAGACTACTTTATAATGATATAGCCTACTTACATACTGTAGTATGTATAGTATTGTCTAATCATTAGTCAGTTGTGTATAATGGAAGCACATAGATTCAGAACATCCCAAGTATATATTCCTAGTGATTTTAAATTTAGGTTACATTTTATAACTTTGAATTGAGAGGGGGAAAAAAGTCATACATTGAGGTCTAGAGCAGGGAAGTGTATTTTAACTGCTTTGAAGGGCAGTTCTGAACAAATTGGTTAACAAATTAACAAAGAATTGAAAACTTTTGGAAATTTAAGGATGGAAAATAACCTCATAAATATTGCCCATTTGAAGTGTGAGATGTATTATTTTAAGGACAAATACAGACAAATTCTTACAAAATTTCACCTTGAATGGGCTCTATGCACAGCTCCACTACTTCTTGAATTTAAAGCAGCTCCTTTGTTTCCTGTCTTTCATGATTGGATGCACTGATTAATCCAGGTGTGTATGACCTAAGTAACTGGCCAGACACACCTGGATTAATCAGTTCGTCCAGTAATGAAAGACAGGAAACAAAGGAGCTGCTTTAAATTCAGGAAGTAGTGGAGCTGTGCATAGAGCCCATTGCAACAAACTGTGAGACTTTACAAGTGCCACAAGATGGCACTGTTTTGCAATCATTGCTTCTAACTCCCCAGAGTTTAATTTCTTACATTTCTTTTCTCTGAACCTCTTTCACCACACAAAGACTTGACACTGATGGGTGCACCCAAATACACCTCCAGCAGGAATTACATTACCTTTCCCTGTCTGTATTATATCCTTTTCTTTTGTCTGCTCAGTCTGCAGCCATGTTTGCATCTCTATTGTGTTTCAGCAGAACAACTCCCCTTTGCTCAGGCCTGATATATGCTTTCTGTATGTATTTTGTCAGCATGAGAGTGGGGGTGGAGGGGTGGGGATTACCTTGTACTCCTGTAGCACCCCGTTCTGTTCCTCTTCAGGAGGGGGTTGCCAGGAGACGACAACGGCGGTCCCATTGCCCTCACTCTCTGTCACTGTTACCTTACGAGGCGGTGCGCTGGGGGCTTTTGGGGAAAAAAAAAGAAAAAAAAAACACATTTGTAAGTCTTTTCAACACATGCTGTCTTACTCCCACATCCAATTTAGTTCTCTGGATTTACCTCTAAATAGGACTGAGGCGGATGTGAGAACAAATGACTAATCAGAAAAATGAGAATACTTTCATCTTAAAAGACATGTTTTTGCAAGTAAATAAACCCTAATAAATGTTTACACAAAACAAGCAGTGGGTAATTATGGTAGACTGGATTGCGGTTATGAATAAAAAGAAAAAAACTGTGCTTCAACTGTACTCCAATAAAATGATACATTTAAATAAACATCCATTTTCTTCCTGCTTATAAGGAAAATAAAAAGGTTTGGAGCCCCAGATGCAATGATCAAAAAAAAAAAAAAAGCAAGAACAAACACAGAAAAAGCAGAAAGATATCAAAACACACCCACCCGTGCAAGACACACACTCTAGTGAACACTTCCGCACTCACACTGAACTGTTGGAGACATATGAAAATTTGCAGTTGGGTTTCAAACCAAGACTGCTACGACCACACCCAATGAGAAATTAGTACAACACATGCATGCATGGGGGTATTGTATGGGCTTCAGCACCCAGGAATGCTCTGAATCCACCACATTTGAGCACAATGTGGCGCTGCCACCACTCACTGCCTGCGTTAACAGATGTGATATGCTTTCAAACATGCAAGCTTTTGGTATGAAATGGAGCAGACATAAAAAAAAAAGAAAAAAAAAAGAACACCAAAGCACTCTCTCATGAAAGCATTCACTTCCCCCCACCTTCCTCCAGTGTCTTGCCAATTTTAACATCACTGTCTGTTCCCTGAAACTCGTTGAAGAAGGGGCGGACTTTGAATTCATATGTGACACCCTTTCGGAGCTGCGTCACCACTGCGCTGTCCTCTCCAGGAGTCCGGACCTCAAACACTGACCATTCTCTCCTCTGCTGGCTCTCTGGTGACAGCCTGTACAGCACTTTGTAGCCCTGAACATATTGTGATTGCTGTTCCACCTGGTAAAATAAAACAACAACAAAAAAACATGCATAAATATTCACACACCTTAACATTTTCCAGATTTTGGTAAATCACAACAACAAGCATTATAGTAAATCTTAAGGTTTATTAAGACTTTAAGTTTATTAAGACTGTTACAAAGGTGGAAGTGACAAAAATTTGAAAAGTTTGACATTTATTAGTGTGTAAGGCCTTTTATGTTGGCGAAATTCAATAAAATCAATCAATCAAATGCTTTTGGTTAATCATTAGCTTTAACATTTAATAGAACTCAGCTCAATCTAAAATGATAGATCAGGCAAGGAGGAAGTTATTACAGGATGAGCCAAGACTCCCATTGTAACTCTGGAGAAGCTGCAAAAGTGCAGCTCTTAGATGGGAGAATCTGTTTATTCTCCACCAATCTGGCCTTTTAAAGAAAAGAGACATTTTTGGAAGGGAGTCCTACCTTCAATTTAACGCAAGCTATGAGATGGCAAACGTGTAAAAGAAGGTTGTTTAGTCAGATCAGTTTTTGGCTTAAAAAATGACGTATAGTGTAATAGTAAATGCTGAACACACCATTCCTATAATTAAAAATGTTGGCGGCATCATTATGCAGCGGGCATTTTTTTATTTATTTATTTTTTATCAAAGAGGCTGAAGATGGTCTGAGTTAATGGTACAATGGATAAAATTTAATACATGACAATGCTAAAAGAAATGCTGTTAATAGCTACACAATAATTGAAATCAACTATCGTGCAACAAAAGAAGAGTCAAGAATGATAATTTCGGTTTGCAAAGCTTGTTGTTCAGCAACGTTTAGTTCTACAGCCTGTGTTAATAACCTGACTCCAAAGGAATTCCTATGCAAACACTAATTTACACATTTACATTTCTTCTAAGAAATACAAATTACTCTGTATTCATTATGCATATGCTTTGTATATATATGATATAAAATCCTCAAAAAATACATAACATTTTTCAGTTTTAATGTACCAAGTAATGAGAATGTTTAAGGAAAATAGTGTCAAAATGAAAAACATTGTGGCATCATAGAGTAAATATTAATCTGGGGGCCTTTTACACTAGGCTGAGAATAAATTGAGATGCTAATTCATCACATCACCCATCTGTTTATCCTGATTCTTCTTTTTGACTGCATCTATGCGCCATTTGGAGCAGCAGTGATTTGTGCAAACCACACTATGAGGTCATTGGCCAAAGGTTCCTCCAAGTCTGGAGCTGGTTAAATAGGGCCCAGACTCTCAGAGCAGCCTGTCTCATCCTGTCCTGCCCTCTAATGACTGTCGAAGTCAAACACCAAGGAGAATCTGTTCAGGGCACACGATGTCACAATGCAAAACATTAAAGTGCATCTGATTTAGCAAGAAAGTATCAAAGTAAAATAAGGACGGATTGTTTTGCAAAAGAGCAAATATTGCTTGAAGTTGCAGCAGAACCCATGAAAATAACCACTAACCAGAGTGAAAATATACCTACAGTCCCTCTGGAAGAGAGGCAGCACTGGCTTGTTAAGATTTTACTGATTTCTTTATCCCTCCTATATAAAAAATGCTGCCAGCTCAGGTGGTCTTCATTAGCCAGAAAAATGCAGGATTTACCATAAAGGAAAGGAAAATGTAAAACCTAAAAAAATCTCGCATTGGGAATAAATTTATCGCCACAATTGAAGGAAAGTGTGTCACTTAATGTTAATTCCAGGCCTCCACATGTCGTGTGTTCTAATGGAACATTCCAGCAGGACAAAGTAACTGAAGGTAGTGATGTTTTAAATCAGTCTTGACATGTCAGGATCATTTTCACATGTCCACCGTTCCATTCATCACTCACTGTGACACTTCATCATATCTTGGAATGGAGGGGGTGGCCTTTTGTTAAAGAGGCAACACTGACATTGTTTTTACCATTAAGTGACTCATCCAACAAGTTAATGTCTACAAAGGGATGTTTTGAGATATGGTGTGTGCTCAGTACCAGAAGCCTATTAGTGCCTCATATTCAGCTTGTAGCAGCACAGAAACACCACCGTAAGCTCCCAGCTGTACTTCACCACCTATCCGGTTCAACATCTGGTAGCCATTTCCACCTAAAAGCACGAGCTAGCAAACTCTTCTCCTTTTAGTTGTATTGTTTTAACAGTCAAATGTTTCCAATCTGACCGGGCACAGACTGGCACGCTACACAACTGCAGTGCTTTAAGAAGGCTGGGGCCAGAGGTTTTCGTGTGGTTGGTGTGGAAATAAAAATCAGCAGATTCTTTCTGGCATTCAGTCCATGCTGATGCCAGATGGACACTAGAAGCTTTTTTAGAAGCAGTGTCTATTTTATGGCACAGATGTTAAATGAAAACGCAGCTACTGATGATGTTTTAACCGTATAAAGCTTGTACTCACTGTCCACTGCACTCTGACAGAGGAGGATGAGAGGATGGTGGGGTTGTGGAGGTGGATGACCACATCAGCAAGTTCTCTCTGGATCTGTCGATGGTCTATACCTTGGCTGGTGGGAGGGATGTCTGTGTGGAAAAACAAAACACACACTAAGTAAGAATGAACTAATCAGCAGATATACCTTCATGTAGTGGACTTGAATTTTGAAATTTTCCACATCTACCACAATGAAAATAAAAGTAAGTCATTTTAATTGCATTTCATACATTTGCAGAACATGGTCAAGAATCAGTATAATTACAAATCCTGATTCATTTATGTCTTTTGCTTCTGTGTGAAGGTAGTTTGTACCTTGTGTTTTCACTGCATCCGAGATAGCACTTGGATCACTGAGCCCGTATGCATTGGCTGCTCGCACCAAGAAGAGGTAGACTGCATTAGGCTTTAGGCCCTTCAGTATGAATGACTCGGTTTTCACATGCTCTGCCAAGGTTTGCCAGCTACTCCCGGATGTATGGCTGTGAACACAGGACAGAAATAATTTAATGTAAATCAGTCTTCATTTAAATCAAACAGAAATTGATTTATAAAAGACATGGCTGAAAATCTTCACCTAAAGGCCTCTATTATATAGGAGGTTGGTGTGGCTCCAGAGTTGAGATTTGGTTTCCAGGATAAAGTGATGGAGGTCCGGCTAACATCTGTAACCTCTGGTTTTGAAGGAGCGCTAGGTATCAAGTTTGGGTCTGTTGGTCTGTTTGGCTGGACTGGAGATCCAAATTCTGAGGGCAAAACAGAAATCGCAGGAATATAGAATCAAAGGAAAAAAAAACAAACAAATTACAACATACTCTAAGCCATTTTGTTTTACCTTGAACTTCTAAATAGGCTTTCCATGAAGCTTCTCCACTGGGGGTGGAGGCAATGCAGGTGTAGGAGCCTGTGTCCCCAAGCTGGAACAGCAGAGAGGAAGGAATTTAGATATATGCAAATCACCTAGACATTTCCAACTGTCGGTAGGTACTTCATACCTCGTTTCCCAACAACTATCACCATTATCCTATTTCATATTTGGATAAAATCTGTGGAGAGCAGCTGTCATGCCTGATTATCTCATAGTCATCTCTTTTATGGCAAAGCTTGGGGAAATCAGCCGGACAGGCCAAACGGCAGAACATTTCCAGTTAAATGGAAATATTTACAACATAAGACAATTCCGTAAAAGTTTAAAAAAAATCCACTAGACTTGGTTTCCAAGATTTGAAGACGTTTCGCTACCCAATCTTGGAAACCATGTCCAGTGGATTTTATAAAACTTCTATGGAATGACTATGACCTGGATGACTGAGAATCTTCATCAGCAAATTAAGTCAATATTAAGAATTTCCCTCAATGTAATATCACCGTTGTCAGAATGCTCCTAATTCTCTGACAAAGGACGTGGAAAGTTTAAGTTTAGGTTGCTCTGATGCTAAACATCTTAATAAATTATCCAACATTTCATTATGACAGACACGTTGTGCCTCCTTGGCAAAACAGAAACACATTTGAATAACCTCTTATTTACATGTATTTTAACAATTCATTTCGAAATCTATGTAGAGTTATTTAAGACAGGCTTCAATAGACTTGAACTTTAAATAAATGTGGAATTCAAAACAAAAAAAAGATACAAAAATCATATAAAATATATATATTTATATCCAATCTACAAAAATAAAATGAGAGGCAATGCTTAGGAAAGCTAAAATACAGTTTTCTTACTTACATTTTTAAAACGTCTGCTCTGTTAACTGAAAAAAAAACCTCTAAGACAAACAACTCTGCTACACTTTGTTGGTGATTTATAATCAGCTAAAAGCTACTCTGCTGAACAAAACTATAAAAAAAAAAAAAAAAAAAAACAGGAGGATAAATTTTTTGAATAACAAAACACAATCATGTTCCTCCAAATATTCCCAAACTGCGTCCCTTTGTGTTTTCCAGGAAATAAAACCGATTAAAAATTGATCAGAACTCATGAAACCATATTAAGAAAATAAATTAGCTAACATGCAAAAAACATCTCCAATAAACCATTGTCTGGGAGATATGACAAGTTCATTAATGTAAAGTCGCTGAAGAGTTTCAGCTCGAGAACGATTCAGATCCATGGCCTCCTGCCTGCCTCGCAACAGCGTCCCAATCACGCTCCAATCTTGTCACTGCAAGACACGCCAGCATTCATCAGAACACCGCAAACTGACGTGAACTCTGACCCCTTGACACCTCAATCTGGAAGACACGTCAGCACCCCCTGCTCGTCTTTGCCTGAGAGCGCTCGTCATCACAGGGTCTGCTGTGGAGCCTCGGCATACGGATACACACGGGATGACACACAAAACCTGCTGTTGTTGCTGACTGACAGGAGCTACAGAGTGTTCGACTTCACAGACTCCATTTCAAATCCCGACGACTGACTGACAGCCCACTGAGAGCCAGTTGCTGGCAGAACAACATGCTTTATTTACCAACCAGCAGGGGTTTGCCAAGCTCATTATGGATAGAGAACGGACAACTTTGAAGATTACTGGAACGGAACTTAATGTAATAGAAAAAGCAAATGGGAAAAGCAACACCCTACAGTTTGCCTCGTGAAATATATAGGTACTGCTGTAATCTTTACACATTTTATCATTTTACAGCAACAATTTTCAGTGTATTTTTTAAGTAATTTATAGAAGCGGCCATCACAAAGTAATGTATAGCTCAACATTAAAATTAAGAAAAATCTAGAAAATTCTATTTACCAAATACTGAACACTTGTCTCTAATTTAAAGTCAGTAGAAATACAGGTATCCTGTGAATTCCTAAGAAGTTTATGAGTGAATAAACAGCTACAAGAAACACAGTAGAAAGTTGTTAAAATATTTATAGCAACTTTAAGTTATAAAACCAATTCACAACTCCTGAAGTAAACTTTCCAAGACATGGCCATTGGTCTAAACTGACAGGATGGGCAAGAAGAACAATAATAAGAGAAATAGGTCAATGATAGCTTAGGAAAGCTTCAGGATCCGGAACTTAGGAGAAAGAAATTGTTGAAGGGGAAAATGTATCCATCTCTCTACATTTGTCCTTTATCAGAAAAGGGACACAGTTGATAGAGGCCTGTAAGAAGTCCTGTTTGCTGTTTGACACATATGGAACATGGCAAATGTGGAAGAATCTGGTGTCATGGCTAAATAAAAAGAAAGTTGAACCTACTTCTAAGTTCTCCCACTTAGAAATCATAGCAGAGTTTGAAATCGTCATCATAGGTGCATGTCCACTGGTAGAGACATAATCTAAAATAAATAAATAAATACAAAATCCAGAAATCACAATATATGATTTTTTAACTATTTATTTGTATGATAATTTGAACACCTGTCTATCAATCAGAATTCTTAACCTCAAAGACCTTTAAGTCTGCCTTCAAAATATCCACCTCCACTCCATTTATTTTCCTAAATTAGATGCACCTGTTTGAGGTCGTTAGCTGCATAAAGACACCTGTCCACTCCTTACAATCAGTAAGAATCCAACTAGTCACATGGCAATGACCAAAGAGCTGTCCAAAGACACTAGAGACAACATTGTGCACCTCAACAAAGGGTGGAAAGGGTTACGGAGAAATTGCCTTGCAGCTTGGTGAAAAAAGGTCCACTGTTGGAGCAATCATTAGAAAATGGAGGAAGCTAAACAAGACTGTGAATCTACCTCGCACTGGGGTTCCATTCAAGATCTCACCTTGTGGGCTCTCAATGATCATAAGAAAGGTGAGAAATTAGCCCAGAACTGCACGGGAGGAGTTGGTCAATGATCTGAAAAGAGCTGGGACCACTGTTACCTTGGAAGGTTCCCCTGATTAAACCAGCATGTCAAGGCCCTTCTTAAGTTTACCGATGACCATTTGGATGATCCAGAGAAGTCATGAGAGACAGTCATGTGGTCAGATGGGACCAAAATAGAACATTTTAGTCCTAATTCCACTAACCATTTTTGGAGAAGAAGAATGATGAATACCATCCCAAGAACACCATCCCTACTATAAAGCATGGGGGTGGTAGCATCATGCTTTGGAGGTGTTTCTCTGCACATGGGACAAGGTGACTGCACTGTATTAAGAAGAGGATGACTGGGGCCTTGTGTTGTGGGATTTTGCTGAACAACCTCCTTCCCTCAGTTAGAGCATTGAGGATGGGTCGAGGCTGGGTCTTCCAACATGACAATGACCCAAAACACACAGGCAGGATAAATAAGCAGTGGGTATGTAAGAAGCATATAAAGGTTCTGGAATGGCCTAGCCAGTCTCAAGACATAAACCCAATAGAGAATATTTGGAGGGAACTCAATCTACATGTTTCTCAGCAACAGCCCAGAAACCTGACTAAACGAGAGAATATCTGTGTGGAGGAGTAGACGAAAATCCCTCCTGCAGTGGGTGCAAACCTGGTGAAAAGCTACAGGAAAAGTTTGACCTTGGAATTGCAAACAAAGGCTAGCTCAAAAATCATACAAATAAATAGCTTAAAAAAAAAACCATATATTGTGATTTCTGGATTTTATTTTTCGATTATGTCTCTCATAGTGGACATGCACCTACGGTGACAATTTCAGACCCTCCATGAGTTCTTAGTGGAAAATAGCATGGTGTTCAAATACTTATTTTCCTCACTGTACATACAATTGGGGGGGGAAAATCTACTGAATACTGTCTGGATAATGAATGGAGTAAAAGTGAAAAAAAAACATGTTATAGACTGTATCCAATGTTTTATATGTTGGAACCAATGTCTTACCTTTGCATATCTTATCTGTAGTGCCCCTGTGTCCAACTGTTTGATCCTTGAGTCATGTGTAGACACTAAAACGCTGTCCTTCTTCCACAGGACGGTGGGTGTGGGGTTACCAGATGTCACACAATTTAGGACCACAGTTCCATCCACAGCCACCGTTTGATTGGTGGGCCCCTGTCGTATAACCGGTGGCGGGCGGTCTGACACAACTGGGGAAGAGAGGAAGGAAAATGGGCAATTACGAGAAGCCGTGGAAGCTGCTAATGTGGTGTGGCCTGGTGAAAGGAAACTGGGATTCAGTCAATTATATCCAGCTGAGGGAAAGCAAACACAAAATGTGGAGGAAGGTAAGAAACAGTCCTGTGGAAACTGGGCGGACTGTATGAGGGGAAATGTTTTGTGTTTCTACATTATATAAATAAAAAAGAGAAGATGTGAACAGTGTGAAAAAGTGTTTATCTCAGGTGAGGCATCAAGTTCTTTTAATGTTGTTCTTGATTGTGTTTTAACTTCCTTGATGAGTCTTTAATGCTTAGTAGAAGTAAGTGGAAAATGTTTATCACTCTACTTCAATCAAAAAGGCGTTTTAGCTTTTTCCAGACAGACAAGTGTGAATTACTTCTCATCAGCTCTTCTTTCACTTTTTTAGATCAGATTTGATCTAAAAAAATTTAAATACTCTAACAGCTTGAATTACACTCAAAGTCTTTGACCTGTCATGGTCAATTTATAGATATTTTCACAACAAAAAAATATTTTAGATATCTTTATTTATTCTATTTCATAGTTTTTATGCATTTTAGAGTTATATTTTATCCATATATTATTAATTTATCAATAAACATGTTGAAGTAGGAAGTTCTCAAAAATTATTTGTGAAATACAGGAGCACAACTTCAGTAAATTAAGTGATATCACCTCCTTAAGGACAGATAAAACAGTTTTGTGACCAAAAACTGCATGAATCAAATGCTATTGTCCAAAAAAAACCCCATCAAAATAAATTAAACAACCAAAATATTCATATGATGTTTTCCAACCCATGTATCGTTTAAAAGTGCTCTATAAAAAAAGAAAAGTGAAGCCTTGAAAAGCACAGTGATTATGAAGCTTTGACAATTTTTCTATGGATAAATCTAAGACTATATTGTATGTTTGATTAAAATTTACAAATTGCTGGAATCATAGCCTTGATATTCATGATAATGAAAAAAACGCTCCACCATCAGTTATAGGACAAAATATATAAGATCTCAGTAGTTTGAATGCTTTAGCACACGACCAGCGAGCCCACAAAATTAAAGATACACAGGAGGATACATTTCTTTAATTTCATATTCTCTGTGCTGTGTGTTATTCCTCATGTTCCTACATAAAGTGGCCTTCATCCTTCCTGTCATTATTATTATTCATAGCCCTATTGATAACCATTCCTGTCTACTCCTCTGAAACTGAAATTAATAGAAAACACAGATGATGGCAACATATAATGATTTATGTATGTGTACATAGATCTTTGGAAATGTGTTGTGGTGTAATCTGCGGCTGCTTTGTCTCCGCTTTTGTGTAAGGGATGGTACAATTACTACTGTTGGCCTTAGACTGGCCTGCTCACTTTAATAACTGTTATTATTATCCAGAGAGCAGGACGGAATGAGAAACACAAGAGCAGGCAGAGAGATAGAGCATTCCGTTGTAGGCCTTTAATGAGGAGGGACATTTGGTAAATGAGGGGATGAATCTAGGTGTGTCATAGACAGAGTAATAGCTGCCCAGATATCAGTGGGCCTGGTGGAAGTGAGGCACAGATCGTCCACACGGCTGACAGCGAACGGTTTAGCTGCATAATTAGAGGAGCCAGTCCAGACCTCACCACATGGCCACAGTCTTCCAACATTAGGGAGCAGGCAAGCCAAGCATGGTATACTGAAGGAGACATTAGGCAGCATGAAGCCAGAGCAGCAAGAAAGTGAGCCATGGTCTGGATGCACAGGCACCAGAGAGTCTCAACCTCCTGAGAGGAACACTCCAAACAGGCCAGACCGAACCTCACAAACCTCAATACGGATTGTAATATGCTTCAGAGCACAACCACAATATAACGGATGAATGGGATTTTATTCACAAGCTTTAGATTATCTGAAATTCCAATACATCCAATATATTAACTTCGGTTTTTTTTCTGTGTTACTAAGTGTCTCCCAGGCTTTTCTGCATGTAAAAATATCTGTGAGCCACATGAACTCAAACACCGTGGATACTGTAGGTGTGTTGATCGATTTCTTACATTAATCATGATAATTTCCAACACATTCAGCCATGTCATAACTGGACGATAATGAAGAGGTATCTTTGGAGAAATAAATATAATATATAAATAAAATATATATAAGCCCAATAGACTGACCCAAGTATCCACCAAACACCTGTCAGTGTGGCGCAGTCAGTGGCAGTGACACTGCATGTCCTTCTGACTGGTTTCTCAGACCAGTATGACATTGCATGATTTGTGCAAACATGATCATTTTTGGCAGAAACGGCTCTGCTGCACAAAATGCATGAAAGTGATTGCTTTAGATGGCTGGATGGATGTATGGATGGATGTATGGATGGATGTATGGATGGATGGATGGATGGATGGATGGATGGATGGATGGATGTATAGATAGATGGATGGATGCATGCATCGATGGATGGTTGGATGATGGATGGATGATGCATGGATGGATGATGGATGAATGGATGGATGGTTGGATGGAAGGATGGATGGACGGATGGATGATCCGTAGATTGATGTGGATGGATGGATAGATGGAAGGCAACCAGAAGCAATATGCATTCTTAAAATAATCCCTTTTTGATAATAAAATGTAATTCCATGGTGCTGTGGTTCTCTACAAACCATTTCCACACATTAGGATGGTCACAAGCCAACCAAAAAGTAAACACATTTCAAGAAGAAATGTAATTAAAAAAAACAACCAAATTAGGGAAAAACAACGAGACACAAAACAATGGAGGCTCTTAGAAGACCTTACAGAAGCCACTCAAAGCCTTTTCTGATATTATCAGAGGTAAGTGTGCATGACTTTTTGTTTATGTATGTATGTATGAAGTGTATGTTTATCTTAATTTAATGAAAATAAATAAAAGAAAATAGTAAGTTTGATTGATTTTACAGAGTAGCTTGAAAAAGGAGGATTGCCTACCATCTGTAACCTCAAGCAGGGCCTTGGTGATCACACTGCCAGCAATGTTCAGGGCCTGGCAGCTGTAATATCCCACGTCAGACCGTTCTGCATCTGTGATAGTCAGATCCCCACTTTGAGATACAGAAAATCGGCTGGACGGTTGTGGTGGTTGGTAGGAGAACAGGAGGTTCTTTAAGAAAAAAGGACAAAAAAAATACAAACAGCACCAAAGGTCAATTATAATTGCTTCTGCAATCCTTCACAAAGTGCTTTACAAAAAGTGATTAACACCTCTTCATTTTTTTATTTTGTCCCATTACAACAAAAAAGAATCATACATTTTTATTTTCTGATAAATTTTCTGTCATAGGTCAGTTAAATAGTAGAAAAAACTGGTCATGTTGATTGTGAAGTTGATGCTATTGTATTTTCTAACCCATTATAAAACAACAACAAAAAAATCCCCAAAACAGTGCTTCCAAATTTTTAAAGTCTTGTGGTAGATGGAAAAACAAATATGTAAAATAAAAAGGGGGATGAATTAGGAATGAGTTTTGAACTAAAATGTGTTGCTCTTTCCCCTTTACTTTACCTGACTCCCTTCCCTCTGCCAAAAAATGGCTGGTTGAGGGTTCCCAGTGGCCTCACATTGGAAGGTGACTGTCCTGCCAACTCCAACCACCTGGTTCCTCGGTCTCACCACAAATGCTGGGGGCACTGCAGAACAGGCATTCAAATGGTTAACCACAGAGGAGGCAAACATACCATAGCACAGACTACAGTAGAGAAGATAAGCTCAAAGGCATCACATGTCCAGCATTATTTGAATAGAATATTAAAACTATTTGCTTGCATTCAAATCTGCTTTGGCTTTGTTTTAAATGTGTACATGCAAAATGTGTCTCTGCTTAAAGAGTATAGCATTTAAATCCAAACTATAAGCATGTGACAAATGTAATAAACTGAAGGAAAAAAAAACAATAGTTAGAACCATACTGCTCATTTGCATGTGTAAAGCTATGGACCATTAAAATTTACATGGAAATGGGGAATAAATTTGAGCCATCTGTCCATGCTGACAACTTCCAATAGTGTAGGCCTCACCAGAATGCTGCGGTCATGCATCTTAATGACAAATTCAAGCTCAGATAAAGAGCGCAGTTATAGCCAATTCACAACCATGCAGTTCTGTGATGATACTAGTTTAATGTGTTTCCATTAAAAGAGTTAAAAAAGAAAGGTCAGGAGGTAGTTAACCATACTCTGAATAAGTTCTCACATACAAAAATATATCTTGTGATTTTTAAACAGAAGCTGCATAATATGTAGAAAAATGTAATCTCGACACTGTCATCTCAGATACAAACACAATTTATCCATAAGTTAGGTTTTTTGGGGTGTGTTTGTGCATGTGTGTGTGTATAGGGGTCCTTAGAAAGGGTGAAAAAACAACAAAAGAATGAAATGACACAGCTTTACCTTGAAGGAACAAGATGAGCATTTTTTTTACCCACTAATATCCTTTTGTCACTGTTGCCCGTGACAACAGAAACATGATTGCTGGTTGAAGGGTGGAGAGGTGATGGGTGAAGGATGAAGGGGGGTTGTGATACCTTCCTGTCTCTGTCAGGGTGGTGAAAAGGTGACGGGTGACATTTCAACTTACCAGACATGACTAAAAAGGAAACAAAAAAACAACACAAAATGCCTGGATGAATAAACAAATAAAAAAAAACAGCATGACAAAAAAAAAAGACAGCACAATGTCCGCAGTTATAAATAATCATGGTTTCATCCTGTGGAGAAAGGAAAAAAAAGCCATGTTCTCTACTTGATTTAAAACTCTGGGGAACACATGATACAGTATTACTTCTGGTGATCAGGACAGACGTAAACTGTTTATTCACAAGAAACATTTCTAAGGAGTTGAGACCAAATTCAAGAAATTAAAAAAACACTATTAAATAACATACAGTTATATTTAATGTATCCTAAGAATAAAAATATGGAAACTCATACACATGGAAAGACACAACAAATATTTTAAAAAGATTTTCAAAAGTACCTCCATCTCATCAGATTATGTTATATTATAGGTTTAGTTAAACTGGATCGAAATCAATTGTTGATGTGGATTTTAAGTCTTTCAACAGATTCTCTATTTACATTTTGTTCTTCACTAGACCTTTAACTATGCAATTGTAACTCTGACTACACGTTTAAGTTATTTTTTATCCTGCTGGAAGATTCACCTCCACCTGAGTCTCTTGAAACTTGTAAAAGACTTTCTGTTAGACTCAAACTGCGTTTCTGTGTATCTTAGTAGCTGTCCAAGCAAAAGAGAAGCATTCCTGTAACATGAGGCTTCCACTTTCAGAGCATCTTGAAAATATTACAAATGTTCCTTGAGTAGCTTGAGGAAAATTGCAATAGGACTTCCTGTATCTTCATGGTAAACGTTTCAGATTTCTACTTGTAAAATTGTATAATCGTGTATTATTTTTATTTCCCCCAATAAGGAAATAATATTTTTTTAAATTACATAATTTCATTGCAAAGAGAAAAACATTTATTTGTGTATTTCTTTATTACCTTGGGTTTTCAAAAAGTTTATTAAGGGGTTACTACCCAGATGCAGCCAAAATCACACCTCAAAAAACTTTTTGAAGACCCTAATCAAACAAAGCCTTGGATATTTAAATTCGGTTCATAAAAACACAAGGTGAATGTTAACTGTCACACATTGGTCATAAATCTCCTTCTGGCCTATCCATCACTTTTTAATCAGTCAGTTTCAGCGGCTTCCATAAAAACATAAATGCTGTCAGTCAGAATAATAACTTAACTCTTCCTCCTCCCCCAGCCTATAGCTGGCCTTTAAAATGCAAATGAGACTCCCATCAAACACTCCTATAACAGGATCTTCATGACTATCTGTTGTAGATATCCACAATTATGGGACTTTGGCAAATACGCACCAATCACTCACCTCAACTCCGTTTATATAACCACTGATATGTGTCTAAGCCTTTAATGAGGTTACTTAAGCTTCCGCATGTGGCTCTGATCATAGCTGCAGATAAAGAGCATAAGGGACACCTTAAATCTAAACTAGTTTAATAGTTTCTGCTTTCTGTTAGTTTTTTAGCATAACAGAGATTTTTTTCTCATTTTGAAATGTTTGTTTAAACATTTTTCATGATTCAATGGCATTCATTTCCAAATTTAAATCAGAACTCCATTTTATGACAACAGATGGATGGATGGCAAACTCCTGTGTTCCATTCTTTCCATTCCTTTTTTTTATACTTATCCAAACCTAAGAACATATTTTTCATCTAATTCAATTTTATCCCAAATTTCCATATTATCAACTAGACTAGTTGGAAAGGAAAAATCCTTGAAATGCTTTGTGATGTATCGTCTTAAAAATTTTTGTGTTTTGGGGTTCTTCTAGGGTATTATATTGGAAAAAGATGTTTAGCCTGTAGTATTCCAAAAACAACATGTTTTTAGATTTTTCTTCCAAAAAGCTTTTGGTATTTATCACCACTATAACAGTGCAACATGTGCTGACAAATAGGTTCCTCTTATTCACACTCTGTTGGCACCAGCTCCTAGCTGCCATCCAGTCCCTTCGCATGGGTTATTAGCAACACTGCTCTAGGGACCATAATGCCTTTCACTACTTTTTTCTACACATAAATCAGCACTAACAGCAAAGTGAAGCAGCTTAGAAGGAAAATAACACATTGATTTTCAAACTCCAACTTCAGTGCAGCCTAAAAAATGAATTAATATTAACATGACATTTACTGATAAAACTTAACAAAGAATACAGATTAAAAATTATCTTGCCTTAACAGACAGAAAAAAATTATCAATCTAATTCTTAACATTTCCTAACCTATAAGTTATCTTTAAACAACTCTTTGCAATATTCTCTTATGGCTTAGATTAATGATTTCACAGTGAAGCCATAAATATGGGAACTGACTTGGGCGATTATATGTTGGTTCAATCAATCACTTCAGTGTTTTTCTTGACATATTTAAAAGTCCAGAGGAGTTGTAGCTGGCTGATAAACAAGCATGTAAAACAATAATTCACTGATTGAGTTAGTTACGGGAGCAGAACCCATTGAAAGAAAAATAGCCCTGGGCGCCACTTCACAGTGTTGTCTTTGTTCACTGAGAATCTGACCACAGAAGGTGAGAGAAATCCCCCTGGCTGCAAAATTTGAGAATCCGCTTCTAAACTATGCAGCTCTAAAAGTTCATAGGAATTCAATGGGACTTAACATTTTGCCAAGATTACTGGCTGAGTAATAATTCAATTAGCTCAGAAGATAGGAGGACATATAGATAAAATAATGAGACATCGTGACATTTTAACTTTTTTTTTGAAAATTAAGAATATCCTTGTATTGGCCAGGTAAAGCTTTCAGAAATCACAAGCTGCACTCAAAGTAAATATGTAGTTATTGAATAAATGTGTATTGACATTGAGCTAATCAAATACAGACCAAGAGTTGGGGTAAAAAAAATGTTTGAAGAAGACCTTTACTTCTTGTATTCTAACAGTTTGTACAGAATGTACAAATTTCAATATTTTTTTATTTTGACCATCCCTTTGGCGTATCGACCTTTCTTTCTTGTTTGATAGAAGCAGGGTTCCTACAGCATAAGGCAAGTTAAATTCAAGACTTTTTAAGACTTTTTAATGCCACTTGAAATAAAAATGTAAGACCAAATTCACAAGAAACACAAGAAAAACCTGCTTCCAACAACTTAACCCAAAGGTTTATTATTACATAAACCACTGCACCAATCTTTCAAATTTAAAAAAAGCTTCCCATACAGGAAGAAAGCTAAAAACACACAAATGACAGACATATCTTAACAATTATTTAACTGAATTCACAAACTTTGTTTTAGCAGGGAACAAAACTAATCAGTTTTAAAGCCACAACATAACCAGTGCTAAGTCTTTTTTGCAGCTATTTTTCTTTGTATCTTTTTCTTAGTATGTTTGATTTGGTGATAAGTGGAGGCGTTGTAGAAACAAGGGTGGAACAAAACTGAGAAATACCGGCTGTTTCTCTGTAACTCGATTTTGACGCTTTGTGTTTCGCGTTTTGCTTGTGACTCCACTGCCCTAATTGCTGTCGTTCAGAGCTTGAATCGCTTCTTGCACAAAATACACTGTGCCTCATGTATGTTACCTGGTACTGGTTTTAGCCATGGAAAAAACTCTTGGCTGGATAGCCAATTTTCTTTACATTTACACTTGCTCATATTTTCCAGACAAAAAGTAAATGGCGCATCTCCTAAATGCCCCGGCCGCAACAACGCTTTTATTGGTTCCGCTATCGGGATAGAACCAATAATGGCGAGCCATTATTTTTTTTTAAATAAAAATAAAGGTCAATTTTAATGTTTTATTTAGATTACAAAAATAAATCATAATAAAAATAATCCTACTTATTATGTTTTAAAAATTAAGACCTACAAAAAACTGATTTAAGACATTTTAATACCAATTAAGGCCTTAGTTTTATTTTTAAGAATTCGATGCCTTTAAAGACTTTTTAAGAACCCACGGGAACCCTGAGTAGAGAGGGAGTCTTTTAATACTTTCATAATAACACTACTCTAAAGATAGACAAGAACAAACAAAAAATGCACCTTGAAAAAAAAAAATTATGAATAAATTGTGATTACTTTTCTCCAAAAACATTGAAAAAATCTTGACTACTTTATAGTAAGCTGAATTCTCACCTTTAAGTTATGTAATTCTGCTGTACATTACATTATTGCAGAAGCAAAGAAACAGTCCAACTCTGAAATTTGATGCTGGCTGACGGGAATGGCCGCTAAACCGACAGACTAAACTGTTCCTCCCCACATCACAGATTTCTTCACTACTACAGCGACATCCTACTACCTCTACATCGTTCCCCCTGCTTTGGCCCATTTAGACCTACAATTACCCAGCTTTTCTTTCCATCCCTGTGCCCGCGTCTGTAATTAGAAGCATGTCATTTCCGAGCGTGGGACTGCGGCCGGCTTGCCTTTAATTAGCTGGACTACTCTACCCACAGCCTCGCTGGCCTCTGTGCATCATGGGCTGCATAAACTTAACTCTAAGGAGAGAGTGGAAATTGTTCTAGACATCAGTCAGAGTCTGATATAAACGATATAATTCCTGACATGCCATCATTCTTTTAACATTCTTCTTCATAACTGTGGCAAGAGAGTTTTCTTGGCTAAAGTGAAGCCAGTTTAAAAATTTGCTAAATTTAACTCTTACCAGATTGGGAGTTGAAAAGCATGATATATGAAAAAGGGGTCAGTACTTTAGTATCATCATGCAGACAGCAGGGGATTGCCCTCAGGTTAGGACATTTAATTTCCACAGAGGACGGGAGGTTTTTCACATTTCAAATTTGATTATTAGTCTGGAGAACAACTTATTGAGCCATGCATCAATGCAGTTCCTTCTCATTAACTAACCTTTCTCAAGAAGTAGAAAGAATTAAGGGGAAGCAATAAGAGCAGGAGAAGTATTGACAGGCGTATTGGCAGGTGGACCTAATTTTATACCTCAAACCAATCTAAAGATTGGTGTCTCATAGTGCAATGTGGGGATTAACTGTGAAGGGTAGCCATGTGTAAATTAATGATCTACATTTTCATATAGGAGGTTGGCAGAATAATTGGATTGCCTTGTCCCTTTAAATTTCTGCCGTGCACTCTGTTGGTGGTGACATTAATATGTCTTACATCAGTGCAAAAATTTCTCTCAACCCACCCGTTCATCCCCCCCAGGTCCAATTCCGATCCCGTTATGCATCAATTGTGAGCCAACCCTCCACCATAGGCATACGCTCTATTGCCCTCCATCCAATCCTTACTCTTTGTGCTCAAAGCTTCCTCCTTCTGCCCTCCCCTCTTGTCTCACCAGACTCCAAACATTCCTATTAGTTTGGCGTTAAATGGCCCCTGTGTTCCTCTGAGTCTCAGGAGACTTTTGGGGTGATCCCACCCCCCATTTTCTCTGAATGGTTTCTTTCTGAATGTTCACACTCTGTGACCAGCTGCTTTATAGTCTGGCCATGTTAATAAGAGGTCCAATTGAGAGGGCCACAGGAGACACACACATATATTCCATGAGTTTAAAGAATAGTACTGTAAGGCTGACAACATGGAGGAGGACATGCCTCTGGAGAAATGCCACTTATATAAGGCAAATGAAATCGATTGTTGCTTGGCTCCCATGTTCACTGCTCTACAGCTGTTATCGATTTTAGAATTCCTTTTTATTAGAAATCAATCAGCTAATTGAGAGAGAACAGTTTAAAGTGATGACCATATCGTGGCCAAGTTGGTGCCTATTATTGCTTTGTGGCAGGACTAAATCACTTTTCAATCAAGCTGCACTAAAACTCATAATGGAATTGAATTTAGAACAGTTGTTTAAAAGGCTGTAAAAGTGTATGCAGCAAACAAAACAGTGTAAAACTTACTTATCTGGCTACTTATACTCTAATATTGCTTACCATGGACGGTGAGCGTGGCTGATGCCTCCGCCTTGCCCACCATGTTTTCGGCCACACAAGTGTAGGAGCCTACATCAGCCGAGATCACACGTCGTATCTTCAAGGTGTGGTCCTCACGGATCTCATATCTGGATTTATGAAGGTAAAAATTACTTAAATATGACAAATGTGCTGAAATAACCAAATAGATTGATAAAATGATCTAAGAGTTTTTTGTTTGGATAATTCATACCGTCCTTTGGGCAGGTCGCCATCGTCTTTCCTCCAGCGTACAGTTGGAACTGGGTCCCCTCGAGCCTCACACCTGAACTCCACACTTTGGTCCACTAAGACCACTGTGCTGCTTGGGCGACGCACAAAGCTTGGACGCTCTGCATTAATGCAACAGGAAGTCAATTATGCAGAGAGGATTAATCTTTAGCTTTTACTAACAGATCTGTCCGTCTAACACAAAAACATAATCCATCAAATAATCTGTTGTTATATTTCTCTCTGAAGTAACAAAGTAGGTCAAACATGTATTTAATTTTTAACCAGTCTTGTCAAAATATCATCTTTAAAAACAAAATCTTTTTACAAACTCAGTTTAAAGAAAATAACAGAATTTAAAAAAATAACCTTTGTATGTTAGAACATTTCTAGACATGTTTATTCAAAAGGTAAAACACTATAATTAGCACTAAATTAAGATTAAAATAAGACTACTTTTTGAGCTGTCTGAACTACACAGAAAATAGATCAGATAGAAAATAGACTGTCACCATGAAAATATAAGACGCATTAGACCATTTTTGTGATGTTTACATGACAAACTATCCAAATAAAATATAATTTGAATTTTTCTCAAACAATTAAAATATGTCTTTTGCATTGCCACACTCTAAAAACAGAAAAAGAAGTGATTTTATTTTATAATGAAATTAAAGTTAAAAACAGTTTATAATTGTCACTGTGTTTTTAATCAACCAATTAAAGCTTCCAATAGACAGACATTATAAAAAAAATGCTAATTTCATGCATGAAGAGTATATAAAAAAACAGAAATCATCTGATGTATTATCACTCCAGTTGGTGCTTAGAGTAGAAAAATTAACTTTGCCTTTTGGGATTAGTATCTGGGTTAGAGGTGATTTAATAAGGTCAAATATGAACAGTTGGTCACAGACAAAAAGCTGCAATAACAGCCCAGTTCAGAAAAAGAGCGAGACTGTATGTCACCTCAAAATCTCACGTTAAACTGATGCCAAGTAAAGGTCAGCAATAGAAGTGTTTACCCTGTTAGGCAGAGACTAAACATCTGCATTTTGTTTTACATCAAACAAGAAAAAGATAGTTAACCTATTAGCTTATATTCTGCGATAAAGCAAAAGAAGGCAGCAGAAAGATAATTACCCAGCACTGTAAGTTCAGCAGTTTCACTTTCACGCTCTCCAACCATATTTGTGCCGACGCACACATACTTTCCGGCGTCGCTTTTGCGAGCGTTTGTGATCATCAGCTTGCCTCCACGTATCTGAATGAAAATAAAGTGAGTAGAAACTAATTAGGAAATAGGAGAAAAAGACACTGTCTACATCTGAGACACATTTGGCTTTGTCCGAGGCCATGCTCTGGTAAAAGGCGCTGCCTTAAAAAAGATCACAACCTTAAAGTAGAGATAATGTAGATCTGTTAATTCTATATTTTACAAAATCAAACTAATATATGCTGTATTTATGTTTAACCGTTTTTAATCTGATATGTATCTCTGAAAAAAAAGCCAATGCAAACAGTTGTCTTTCAAAGTCACCAAGATTTTAACATAGATTCAGTTTGTATGTAATTTTATCTCAAGTTTTGTTAAAAGGTTCAAAAATTGTTGTTGGAGAAAATTTGTAAATAAATAGCTTAACGGAGACCAAGAGACACATCATTATCAAAGTTAATAGAATGGAATAGAATTAAATTTTATTGCCATTACACTGTCTCAACTACAAAGTACAATAATATTTCATTACCTGTGTACAGACACTATGTATGCATGGACTATAAATTGCACATATAAACAGAGAGTAATTGTAAGAGGCTATAAAATTAATAAATATGAAATCTATATAAAGATTATACAGGAAAATTAGGATATGGATTTTAAATATATTAGTGGGGTTATAACACAGAATAAATAATTACAGATAATACCAGACAAAAGATTTGCAGATTATATACAACTATAGTTGAGAAGTAAGTGTATGTGGTGTTGGATCTGTTAAAGTTATTTTTATACAAAAGGTTCTGAACATCTTACAGAGCATTCAATCCATTATCCAAATATGGAGAGATTCTGACACACGTTCCAGGACACCTAAACTAACAAGCCATGGCTAGAACAACAAAAATGTGGATGAAGACAATATAGCCAGATTAAACACGAAGAAGTTGCTTAGAGTTGATTAAAATAGGGATAGTGCTAAATAAAGTATTAGTAGTGATTGCGACACTTTCCATCCAATCTGACAGATACTGAGCTAACATGGATAATGGCCAAAAACTAAAATCTCCAGGTGCTGAAAGCTGGTAGAGACATAGGTCATAAAACTTACATTCTGTAATTTCTGTAATAGGCTGTTGTAAAAGGTATTGACTCTCAGTAAACATGAAACTGAATTTTCAGTTGCTTTTTTTGTTTTTTTGTAAAACATGCCCTTGTAGCTCTCCAGCAGGTTTTATTTCCAATTCAGCTATGAACATCAGCCTGATCGTAACATTGCACAGTGTGGAAAAGTTCAAAAGCTATGAGACCATCAAAAATTAAAACTACCAACAGACTTCACAGAAACATGCAGAACTTTATCAAAACAATTTCATTAGTTGTGCTGTATGTGTCCTTATGGAGGCAGAAACTAGATTTTTTTTTTTTCACCCTTTTGTAAGAAGTCAGTGGGCCTGTTCTTCCTCAGGGTAAGCTTAACAAAAGAAGATTTTTGCACAGTCCCTGAGGTAACACTTAAGGCACTGTTGGACTGCAAGCACTCTACAGTCACCTCAAACAACTTTGAAGACAGTTTTATCTATCATGGAACTGAAAACATTTTCAACAACAGTCTTTTTTTTTTTTATCCACTTTGTCTATCTAACTCCAAGTCAACATCAAACACACCCTCCAGTAAATGCGTGTTTGTCCAGGTGAATGTCATGTCTGTTATTTCCCAGGGCTTTGATTACAAGCCAGAGGATACGCTTTGTTCTCATGCAGTCAGAAATGCAACGTGGGGCCTCGGCATAGACCCCTCAGCCGTCCTCTGAGCTGACAACCGTGGCAGTCAGTGCAGACGCAGACAATAGCATGGTGCGCTAGTGATCTTTCAGCTCAGATTGAGCTTAAGGTTTTAAATGCACACATCAGCCTTCAGGACCAGCTTTACCTCCTGCAAGCATGTAATCGATATCCCCATTAGAAAAGCACTGACAGAGAACCTGACACAAGGTCTGATATGCCTGTGACAACCCTGTTAAACTCTGTTGCCGGGATGATCCCACACATTCTGTGATGTCTCAGTCAATCTATATCACAGTGCATCATATGTCCATAAAGTGCTCGAAGCGAACTTACAACAATGGGTTGCTTTTTGTCATACTTGCACAGTCGCAAGACATCTGGAAAACTGTCTGAAAGAAAACTGTCTAAACTCTGACTGAAAGCTGTACAAAATGAAATTTTGTTTTGTATACACTCTGGGCCGGATCTATCAAAGGTTTGCGTGTATAAAAACGTGAGCTATTTCACTGCGCACGCTAAAAAATGTACAAAATGATCTATCAACAGCGTGCTAAAAGGATTTGGTCTTTAAAATCTGCTAAATAGCGCCTCTTATCCATTTAGTACTTTTTCTGCTATGAATATGCAATATGGGGCGTTTACACGCAAAAGTGCGTCTTGTGGGAGGAGAACATATAAATATATTAATTTAGCACTCGCAAAGTGATTTATCAAACCTGAAAGCAATTTTGCTAACGGTATCTGACTCTATATTTAACACGTTTCAAAAGAAGGTGCAAATGGTCTGTAAGCGTAATTGCGCACACATGGCAGCGGTTATTGTCGCAAGAAGGACACATGTAAATGAAGCAAGGAGACGCAGAGAACGCATTTTTTCACTCCGTGTGAATATTTTTGGAATGGACAAGGAAACGATCATCAAAACATTTCGTTTATCCAGCATTGCCATTTTGGAGCTGCAATTCCAGTGATTTGCTCCTCACAAAGCGTCAGCTGTACTTGTTCCTCAATGCTGGTCAGAGGCATCTCATCTACTGTGCCCCCTCCTCTGTTGTTCGCAGATGTTTTGTTATATGCCAGTTTTTCTTTGGTTCGCCTTCTAATATCCTGCTATCTTCTTTTTACTTCATCCACTGTTCGCAAGGTTTCACCAACAGCGTTTACTTTATTACAGATTTGTTCACATATAGCGTTCCTCTGTGTGACAGGCACACTTCTTTGCTGTAGCTCACTTAAATGTTTGTTGGCTTCATCCACCAATACCTCCATTTCCATGGGGTCGAATTTCCTTTTGCACCTTCTGCTGTCCAAACTCGCCATGCCGCAAACCACAAAACGCGCAAAACCATCATTTAAATAGGGCGTCTCCAACAGTTTTGCACCTGCCACGAGTTACGCAATCGCTCTTGTTAAATCACCCACAAACCATGGTTCAGCCCCTCGCGCAAAATTCCAGTTTGCGAGCGCAAATTACTGCACGCAAAATTGGATCTTGATAAATCCGGCCCTCTGTGTATACAAAATGACAATAAGAGTTGTCTAAGTCTAAACATGGCCATCTTATGGAAGAAGGTGACGTTCAGAAAAATCAAACATTTTGAGAAAATTCGTGCTGGTGGAATCATGCCGTGTGGACACTTCTCTTTAGCCTGAGCAAGCATTCAGAGTTAATGGAAAGATGGATATGTTTAATTAGAAGCTGTACTTGAAGAAAATATGAGCGCAAAAAATATCTGACAAAGAGACACGGATCCCAAATAAATAAAATACCAAACATACAAAGGAAACGTTTCAGAGCTGAATAATTTTTCCATTAATCGGGTACACCAGCACATCTCCACAGCAATAGCATTGGTCGAATCATGCTGTAGGGATGTTCTTCTCATTGTATAACAATGATTTACATTAAAGCACATCCATATGCTCGAATGACGTATATTCTTTGACATTTCACGCTAAACTTATAAGAAGACTTTGCATGGCCATAAGGTTAGCATGGCAAGCTAAAACAGATCTGCATAAACCCGGATATATTCTTGCAGTCCTAGAGCACTCATTGCTCCTTCATCCTGTGATATAAAATACTGTGAGGATCATTAAGGTAAGGTCTGACTAAACAGCACAGAAAGGGTTGTACTGTTGTTTCAATATGGTTTTGACCTGAGGATCAACTCAAAGATCATGCATTTTATGATTGTTCTTATCTTTGCAAATCTGCTGTAGTCTCCCTCCTTTTGTTGCCTATATCAACAGCCAAAGCAACTCCTTAGACTAGGCTAAAGAATATTAATGCACTGGATTGCTTCTTTTAATAAATATTCTGTTTTCACAAAACAGAAGCATGTTGAATGTCCCAGCACTCTGAATATTATCACTCCATTATCGAGAAATTGCTCTATCCTATCTCCTTTTGTCTCATGTAATTTGGCATTGCTGATAAACTAACCCCCCCACAGTGAGCATCCTGTTTGTATGTATTCACAAGGTAATTAATTTTCTAAGCTTGTTATTTACCACAACTATAACACAAAAAGAATAGGACAATGCACTGCGCTTCTGCCATTTATGATGCTGGTAGAAAGCTCCAGTGAAAAGCTGATATTTAACAAGGTTTAAGTGCTGTGATTTTTTTTTCTTTTCCTCATGTGTTTATTTTTTCCTCTGCATTGTTCCTGATAGACTCAGCTATCTGCTCTGTTTGACAACCATGACCACATTCAACAAAACACAGCTTTGGTGTTTGCAAAACAACCAAAGGATAAGAGAAACCAGCAATATTTGGAACATATCTTTACAAATTATTTACTGTGACTTTATTGGCCTTTTTTTGTCCTGATCAGATTACATACATTTGTTATAATAAAGGTAATTTTTTTGAATAATTAAATTCATGGTTCTTAATTGCTGGGCGACAGTCTTTAATTTTTTCATCAATACAAACAGGAACTTTGTAAGGCCTGTTATTCACAAAAAACAACCTATTTTCTTTTAGTGAGGTTGCAAAATTGTATAATGGATTGTCCACCATGATTGCTGATCATGAGATCTGAGCTTTACAACCTCAGTAAACATTTTAAAAATATTTTAACAGTAAAAGTGATACTCTGCTAAAATATAAAACAACAGTCATTAAAGTTTATGAGGAATTCCATCTAGTTCAGAGTGGTAGGTGAATGGTAGGTGAAAAAAAAAGGTAGGTTAAAGAAACTGTAGAGCAATTCTCTGAATTTTTATTTTGCATATGATTAAATGCCAATGTGCAGCACTCAACAAGTGAACAGCAGGATGAGTGTTGAAATGTATTCAAACAAATTAAGAACCATTTTACAACTACAGTATGTTAACAGAACATTGGAAGTCATCTTGTAACCCGTGTTGTAACTGCATTAAGACTTACCTGCAAAACTAGGGGATATCAATATCAATCAACATAAATGGGCAGGGAAGATAGCATCATCAGGACATTTATTTGTAAGTTAGTTAAACATCTAACTGCCTAGATGTGCCATTTATTGTAATAACAAATAGGAACACAATTTATACTTTACTGCTTTAGATCTATGCTGAGGGCTAAAGAATCCTGACCAGGACAGCCTGTTGTGACATACATCATCCACATGCAAAGAGAAAATTCCCTCTGCAGGTGGTTTAAGACCAAGGTATAATCACCAAGGAGACTGCACGTTTCAGCATGTTACAAACAAAAAAGAGTGGACTGAAACAAACATTAAAATGCAGGCTGGCTGAGAAAGACCCCCTATTACAATCTCAGCTGTTCATCCCATTAAAAGATTACGACCTCTGTGCCCCTCTCACCCCTCCCACATCCACTTTCCAAATATACTGTAACATAAACAAACTGGATGTGGTACCATGACTCTGTTGACATTGCCCTCAAGATCCAGTCACCCATCAATCACCACAGTTGATTACACATTTTTAGATGGTCAAACATGACATCTAGCTTGTCTATTAGAGAAGCCATTAAGGAGAACGGCATGTGAGGCTGCATGTATGATGAGAAGTTAATAGTGAGCAACAGCAGCTGTTCAGAACCTGTTTCAGTTCCAAAGAACGCTAAAAACATGCTGCAGGCTACAACAGACCAATTTAGTCTGGACACAGCAGTGATGAGAACCTTGTTCATAAACTTTACTAAAAAATATTTCAAGAGTGACATAAAATAAATGAGACAAAAGAACAAGACTGATGTTTTTAAAAAGAACAGAAGCACTTTGAAAATGCTAAGTTACCATGTGAAAGGTGCTTTGCTATTAGAACAATATTAGACAAATTCCATTCATGACGCTTTTTTTTTTAGATCAAATACCCATTATGAATTATATCGCTTTCTGTTAAACAGAGATAAATAACTTTTTCAAATATTATGAGTACATCTCCAAACAAAACTCAGTTTCAGATTAAGGCAAGTCAAGTTCATCTATATAGCATAATTTAGTGCTAAGACAATTTAAAGTGCTTTACACGAAACAATAAAATATGCCTGCTATGCCAGGTCATTATGCTTTGTTCATGTACAGCATTTTGCACTGATTTGCTACTGGAATGTACCATACAAATATTCTTGCCTTGCCTAATAAAGTAGCTCTGCTCAGATCTTTAGAAGTGACACATGTGGGGGTAATTGATAAAATTGTGCTAGCTCTGCTGGTCTTTTAATTAAAGGCATTAGATAGCTGCTAAGATTCTACAGTAAAAACTACTGCTGAGTAAAACCTTATTTTCTTTAATCCTGGTCAGGTCATTCATCCTTTCGCCATCTCATCAATAGACTTTCTTCAAATCAATAACGGAGTCCTAACTAATGAAATAGGTCTAAGAGACCTGCATTTTTAAAATCCAAAGTTAAAACATTTTAATGTAGGAATTACTTATATCATAGAGTAAACAAAGATACACTAAGAATTTGGCTTGTGACTGCAAAAAGGGTGTTTTCAGGTTTGATCTAGCCAGACTAGTAACAAACTGAATGGAAATTAAAATTCTGATACATACTGATACCATGTCACTGTGATAACACTGGTGCTTAGGGTAGAAGACTTTAAGTATGTATTTTTAGTATCAGTGAAGCATTTAAAATTAAGTCAAAGGTATTCTAGAGATAAGAAGCGAGGCAGAAGAAAATTGTACATTGTATATACAATTTATAGGCTAGACTATAAATATAGCTACAGGGCTAGATTTTTGCAAATAAAAGGAAGGATGTATGGATTACAGCAAACTAGTACTTTAAAAGAATCCTTTTGAACATCAAACTACCGTCTGCCATTGAACATGATATATTTGGATATTTTGTCAGTGTTTTGCACATCACAACACTAGATATAGTGTAAATCTTTTTTTTTTCTTTTTTTTTTACAATATACACATAAAGGGCACTGTTTTTGTTATGCTAGATACTCTCAGTGTACTAATAACTAAAAGCTGAAAGGACACTAAACTTAACTTAAAAGCTAATAAAAATTTAATCTGTTTTTAAATGGTAGACAAAACATGTTTTACAATTGTTCTTGTGTCTCCCACATTGCATGAAATTTACTCTATGACAACAACATAATAAAATTCCTCCCATATTAGTAATTAGGATAGGAAGCATTTTCAATGCTGTCCTTAAATTTGCTTATTATGTCCTCAACTAGAAAGTAGACCTAGGAGAACTCGGTATCAACAAGTCATAGCTTTTCAAGGACTGCAAACTGGAAATAAGCCAAACAGTTTAGCCTGATGCATGCGTAAATAAAACATGGTCTTTTATATGGGGCAGTCTCTAAGTGTTGTTATATTGCTTGATCAATTTCAAGAATGTAAAAGGTGATGAGAAATACTTACAGTAATCCTTTCATCTCTGTCATCAATATTTACTCCGTCTTTTTTCCATGATATGGTTGGCTCTGGATGACCACGTGGTGGCTGACACTCCAAGACAGCCGGTTCTCCAGCTGCAACTATCACATCTGCAGGGTTTTGCCTGAAGTCATCTCGTAGAACTACAGAAACAGATAAGAGAACATATCATTTAGAGAAACCGGGAAAAAACAAAACATTTGCCATTATTAAATAGATTATCCAAATGCAGGACAAAAGCATCAGCTATATGAAGTAAAAAAAAAAAAAGATAGATGGATGGAAAAGAGAATTCTAAGCCTTTTGATATATTGTAATTACAGTTGAAATACTTTTTCACAATTAGCCTTACTTTCATTCCACTGACTGTCAATAACTCACTCCAGTAGTCATCAGCATTTCTCATCCTTTTATGTTTACTGAATAGCATAGACTTTCAAATACAGACATGAAGCAAACACTCCTACTTGCAGCATTCACTGCTTATCAGTTTTTATTCATCCCTCCCTCATCTTCCTCCGACGCTTTATACTTCTATATCATGCTCTTATTTAACCTGAGAAATTTACATTCACTTCCATCCCTATTCGTGTCTTGGAAAGAAAATCTTAATTTAATTGATTTTACCAACTGGAAATGATCTTTATTAAAACCCTAAAGGAGCTAAAGCTAACATCTACTTTATTTATACCACAGGTCTGGCAAAACAAACAGCAATTCTGGTATATTTATCTGGGCTCAGTGAAAAAAAAATCACAAATATGATCAGAAACCATCACTTTACCACCCTGTTTAGAAAAACTCATTAATACCACACTTTCCTACAATCATAAGGACCAACAGTGTACAAAAAAGTTTTATCTGCAGTGTGTCTTATTTTGGCGGTACTCAAGTTTACTCCGTGGAAACCTGCTTTAAAAAAGTTTTAACATCTTCACAAAAATCTGAAGTCAAACATTTTAATACATAAAAGAAAAACTGTTTCCGCACAGCAGTAAACTATAAACCTGTTCAACCCACCATAGCAGTCTTTTATGAAAAGAAAACTAATAGTTTGGCACTGGCTGATTTCCAGGTTTACTTTTAGCATCCAGTCATATGTTAACATTATAATATCTAAGCTCTACCTGGTGATATTGTTAACAGGATTGGTATATACAGAAAGAAGAAGACTAAATGTTGACTATTTTCAATATCAATAAGATCTTTAGGAAATAAATCAGAAGAAGCAAAGAGACATCAAAAGCTAATCATGAAGAGAACTTTTTGTCATGTTCTGATATACCTTTTCAACAATGAAACTTAATATCAGCTTGTAATATATAGGTATATAAATGCACTTTGCTGTAAATTACAGATTTAAAAAAAGGTATGTCATGTATGCTTGAAAGTTTGCGCCTAAGTCATTAAAGTCAATGACTCTAAAGCACTGCTTGGTACTTCTTGCATGCCTTTTCAATTCAAAACAAGAATTTAGTTTGAGAGAAGGAGGATTCTTTTATTGGAAAATCATAACCATACAATCACTAACTAATAGGTGTTAATTAAAAAAAAAAAACAAGATATTTTATCAATGATATTCTACTACAAAAATAGGACAAATCTGCACATTTGTTCAGAATGTGCTTTAAAACTAAATTAAATGCAGAACTGGAGCCCTTCCTCAGCGCTGCAGCTGTGTTGAGTTCATTCAGTGCGGTTACCAACGGATCGAGTCATTCAGGAACGAAAATGTAAACAATAAACATCCGATCCATTAAATCATCAACTCCATCTGAAGAAACACTCTATTTGTGTCAGTAAGGCCAATCTGTTCTGAAGAGGATTGCTAAAAAAGTCTGCAGCCTTAGAAGCTGAATAAGCCAAACACTGAAAATGCGGCAGCCAGCATTGATTCAGATCATCCAATAACTGAGATCCACTTAAAGATAAAAATAAAGAACCTTGTCTAGTGTAGCAATGTGATAAATGCACTTTGCAGTAAGCTTTGGTGGTGTAATATTAATTATGCTCTATCTCTCCTCTCAGTGGGGTCTTTACCACTCCTGCTCAGCTCAAAGTTATTCTTTTAGCTATCATTCACATTTGACTGTCCCTTTGGAAAAGAAAAACATATATAACATGTAAGGAGGAAACCAGGGAAGAAAGAAATTACACGTGAAAAGCATGAGGAAAGGGGGAGATATCCTTTAGTGTTTACACCATCAGCACTGTGACCTCCAACCCCTCCTCATAAGCACTCACTCCTTCACCTCCCTGCCCTTTCTCCTCCTCCAAACCAACACCTCTTTGTTATAAACACAGCTGAGTACAGCGCAGCAGACAGCCCTGAACATCTGCGTAGTGGAAACAAATTCCTCTGGGATGAAGGCAGCCAGACAGTCTCCCAGACAGAAAAACGGTTCTAGATCTGGATGGTCGAAACTCCTCGACCACTTCGATCAGGACCTGTAAGTAAATCCCTTGCTTTTGGCAGATACATAAAGCCCTTTAAGCCCTTATGTTCCCCTTTCCGACTCTAAGAGGGGGGACAAAATGCTCTCACACTGTGAGCTGTCTTTAAAGTGTTTGGTGGGGTTTGTATCTGTGTTTAGGATAATGAGCCAACTCCACTATTCTGTCTGTCCTGTGAGTTTGCAGCTGTCCCCTAGCAGATAATATTTCCTGAGCCATTAACAGGAAAGCTAGACCCTGTGTGTTTATGCACACAGCGATTTTCATTTCATTCTTTAATATGTGGAAATAGGCCACAGCCACAGGTCCCAGCATGAAGACAGCTCTTTGTCTGTCCTGGATTTGCCCAAATATGCTGATGATGGAATAGAAATGGGTATATCCGGACCTGGACAGTTATCAGTTTGCTTTGTCAAGGTAAAGGGATCCGTTCTGCACCACATTTTCTCTTCTGTTTTGTCAGAGCAAAACACTTCTTGTCTCATATGACGGACATGGCATGCTGTGAGACTGCTGACTCTGCACAAGACAGACATATTTATCAAAACACAGCATTTGATCGTACTCTCTAGTGTCTTCTTGGTTATACTTAAGCTTTCATCAGCCATGTTCTTTCATTCTGTACAATACAGACACCGTGTGATTATTGGCATTTAGAAGTGACTGACCATTTAGAAGTGTATGTAACCATCTTGTAAATGTCCCATACATTTGTGGAATTTTAAATGTTAGGGGTATTGACAGATCTGGAAAATTTATATTTTTTGGCCTAGCTTCAATAAGTTTCCTTTCCCAAGTTTGATGTTGCCACGCCGTATATATTTTTGTCCTTTCTTTACTTCCTTCCAAATTTCCGCTAGTTTTTGATAGTCATTGGTATTTCTGCTAAAGAAAAGCATCCTCACAGCATATTGCCAAATACATGATTGAGTATAGTAATTTTGTTTTTGGCTGATGTTTGCCCAATTCTGAGAAAGCCAGATTTGCAACGTGTGTGAGTAAAAATTGTACTGTCAACATATTATCTAACACAAGCCATGGATTTATGTAGATCATCCAAGGTTATAAGTTAGGATATTACAGTTACTAAGATTGCTACATCTAGCCATGAAAACCCACCGGTTCATCAGGCGCATTTTTATTCTTTGTTCAAACAAAAACACACACCCACGTACGCGTGCACCCATACACATGCAGTCTATTCCGCAAGAAATTGAAAACAGATGTTTAAATCTCAAATTAAAATTAGATTCCTGTGTTGGACCTTCAACATTAATGAAAATAAAGACCCAATGCCACACACAAGTCTGGGTGGGAAGATCTGTTGAGCTTTGTTCTGAGGAAATGAAACCAAGTAAAACAAGCTCCCTGCAAATCTGTGGAAGGATATAAAAACACACGCACCAAGGAATTAAAGGTTTATCAAAGAGCACACAAAGTCAATTCAGAATACAGACACAACGCAGCATGGGTCTGGCCTTTGGCTTTGGCTTTTTTTCTTTGAATAAGGACAGACAAGCCTAACCCTAAAAGGGGGAGTGAAATGAATGATGAAACCACTGAAAATAAACTTCAAAAAAGTATTAAAAAAGAGAAGGAACAAATATTGCTTCTCCTCCATGTTTGCTGAAGCTACAGTATCTAACTCCAGATGCTTTTAGAGCTGCGAGGGTATAAGGGAAACAGGATTAAATATTATGATAAAAATATTAGGCAGGGATAAAGCCATGGTAGAATAAATAATAAGAAAACAATGGCACAAGTTTCTGCTTTGATCCCTTCTTTAAAAGACAGACAGACGGGATCGTTTTTCTGGGCTATATGTATAACAGTTACTTGCAGTCATTCCTCATCAGCCAATCAACAGATTAGACTTTCCATCCCACTACATTGTATATCTCACTTTGTCTTAAAATTTCTCACCCTCCCTTCGACATGTGACCTTGTTAGCCTACCTGCTTCTCAGCTCACACAGACTGGGAAGCTTACATAAAGACAGCCTCGTGGTGGTGGTGTGTTAACCTTCGAAGGCCCAGTGCTAGTCCGTGGCTGGTGGTTAATTTGCCATAGATGTATGCACAGTGAGCATGTTGTTTGCACTGCATACATGTGTCGTTTCCCCACAGGTTGTGATGATACAGTCAGATTCTAACAGTATGTTGAAAAAGAAATCCCTCCTCTATCGTCTTACCTCATTTTTACAGACAGACATGAGGTGAACAGTCTTTTCTCTCTCAGTCTGACTTTCAGCCCTCTGTTCTGAGTGTTGGGCAGCTCTCTATACCTATCATAATAACTTGGATAGAAGATTACACATAAACTTTTTACAAGCAAAAGCACAGGGAACTAAAAAAAATCAGAGACTTGAAACAAGAGTTGATATCAAAATAAAACGTCAAATCATCTCCCACCTGTAAATGTTTTGTTATTTTATGATCAAGTTTATTGTTTTTTAAATACATCCACATTTCTGTGTGCATAAATCATTTTTATGACAAGAGAGGCCCTTCATGTCAATGAAATTCTATAGAAGGTCGCAGCTGCAGAGCCACAATGGTTTGAAGTACATAAAGCCTAGCTGCCTGTTTGACCACCAAATATCTTGTGAAGACCCGTAAATATGTCAGCGAGGGCGGACAACATTTACTCCAGCAGCCTTTAGGGGACTGCACCTGCATGCTCCAGAAGC